CCGCAGGGCCTTTGAACGGAACCAGAACCGGGCCGGAGGGTTCTCACGTGTTTTTATTATTATTATTATTATTATTCAGTTGTGTTTTTGGCCGAACTGAACAGAATAATTCCCCGCGGTTTTTGTTTATTTTCCCGCCTGCTTATAATAAAAACTAATTAGAGACAATGACGTTTAATTGCGTCTGGATTCTGTTTGCGGTATTTTTCAACCCCGTTCTTTCTCTTCGTCCGGTCATTCTGACTCATTTATGTTTCCTTTTTTCCAGGAACTTCAGATTCTGCAGAAACAGAAAAAAAATGTTTTGTGAATATCTGGATAAAAGGCCTCCAGAGCTCGCGCGCAATCTGCAACGGACGCTCCGCGCGCGCCGCAGCTCGCGCCTGCATCCATCACATGATCAGATTTCTCCTCCAGCGTTTACCTTCACTGTTTGACTGGAAAGACCCGGATGGAAGTTTGTTTTAATAAAAAATAAATTCTGAAACAAAGAAAAACGTGTCAAAGATTCCCGTCCCCGACTCACGGACCCATTTTCTCTCCAGCAGCATGAAAGTCAGAGTTTGACAGAGGTTCTCCCGGGGTCACACACAGGTCAGAGGTCACCTGTGAGCTGTGAACAGGGATTATGTTTCCTGCTGGTGGCAAAAGAATAGAAATAATAATGATTAATGAGTCATAATTCATGCTCTGATGTACGCTTCCTCTCCAAACGAAGCCTTGAACAAACACAATGAGAAGAAAACAGAAAACCTCCTCCTGGGCCCTCGGCGCTCCGCTGGATTGTTGCTGAAAAATTCTTCCATTGGGAGGAATTTTCCAGCTGGACCTGCATGGCCTTGTGGCCATCAACTGCTAATAAATTGACACGGCGGGATTGAAAGGCTCCGAGGTTAAGGCCTTCCTACCAGAGGCTGTTCACGGGCCAGAACCAGACAGAACCAAAGGATCCAGACCTTCATCCTGATGAATAACTTAATTATTTCAATAAAAACACATAAATAAAACCTGAGCTGTTGAAAATAACATTGTTCAGTTGTTTCTAACATCCCTCAGATGTGTTTTTGTTTGTTTGCTTGTTTGTTTTAATCCTTCTTAAATCTTTAATTTATTAACATTATTTAAATCATCCGTCCTGCAGCTGAAACACAAACAAATGTGATAATTAAACAAAATTAAACCAACTGAAGATGTTTTATTCTGCAGTTGTGATCACAAAATAAACCAAATCGGTGATGATATCAAAGGAAACCCTTTTAAACACTATCTGCTGTGTGTTATTGCACGTGCACGTGTTGCTCCGACTGCAGGCCTAAAGCTGAGATTCACCTCCAAGAGACTTCTACTGTTCAGGCAGGATAAAATATTCAGCCTGTGCTGCATCCCTGTTAATGTCACTGAACATCAGAACAAACTTCTAACAGCAAAAAGGACAAAATAATATAATAAAAACAAGAAAAAACAGTCAGTTTAAGCTGTATATGTAATTTATGCTCACATATGAAAATCCATTTCAAGTGCAACGATTGGTGTAGCAGCTATAGATATACTGTAAACACGTACAGATATAATTTGTATTGTGTAAAAGTTTTAAACAGGTGTGGAAAAAAGGCTGTAAACAAAGAATTATTTCAGAAATGAAGAGTTAACCAAATCAGTGAATGAACAAAAGAGAAATCTAAACCAGATCCATGTCTGCTGTGACCATCTTCTGCATCCAGAACAGCATCCGATCTTCCAGCTACACTAGAACACAGCTGTTGAAGGAACTGGACTGGTAGGTTGTTCCTATCATCCTGGAGAACTAACCACAGACCTTCCGTGGATGTAGGCTTCCTCGCATCCTTCTGTGTCTTCATGTGATCCCAGACACACACCATGATGGTGAGGTCAGGCTCTGCGGGGGCCAGACCAGAGCTTGGTTCTTCTTTGCTCTGAAGATAGCACACACTTTGAAGTAAACAATTACATTTAATTTTGAATGAAATTATTTGACTTATATTCTTGTGTTCTGTGTTTGTTTGTTTATCACATTATATTATATTATGTTATTATATTATATTGTATAATATCATATTATATTATATTATATTATATTATTATTTTATATTATAGTATTATATTATATTATAGTATTATAATATATTATAGTATTATATTATAGTATTATTTTATATTATATTATTATATTATATTATATTATATTATAATATTCTAGGCAGGGTTACTTATACCATTTTATTTAGTTGTTGCATCATTCAGCTGATGGTCTGAGCTGACAGGACCTCATCAGACCCTCTGATCTAGAGGTCCCCTTGTGGAGTCCAGCTCTCTCTCTCTCTCTCTCTCTCTCTCTCTCTCTCTCTCTCTCTCTCTCTCTCTCTCTCTCTCTCTCTCTCTCTCTCTCTCTCTCTCTCTCTCTCTCTCTCTCTCTCTCTCTCTCTCTCTCTCTCTCTCTCTCTCTCTCTCTCTCTCTCTCTCTCTCTCTCTCTCTCTCTATCTATCTATCTATCTATCTATCCTCATCTGAATTCCTGAGCTCAGCGTGCTTGAACCATCGACACATAAACGCACTGTTTCCATGGTAACCAAAAGCACTCCAAACACGGTGGCAGAAAAAGACTGGACATGTCTTCGAATCCGTGCCTTCGCGAGCATGAAGAACGTTACCAGAACCGGAAGGAGGCGGTGGAGTTTTACCGACTCAACGGAGTCAAGGAAACGTTGGAGGCGGCTCTGAACGAGATGTTCCTGCTGCGGCCCGGAGACGTTAACGGCTACCTGGTACCGGCCGGCTAGCTTTAGCACACCTCCTGTTTTACATTTAAATGTTAAAATGTGTGAAAATTGAACAGAAGCACTGAGTTTGTTGGATGAAGAAGAAAGTAAAACGGAAAATGATTTTATTTTTGTAGAAAGTTTGAACCCGAACAGCTAAATTAGTTCTGGAGACCAGCTGGTAACAAGCTAATCTAGAGCCTACGTCACGTTCTCACCCCCCGACTGGTCTGGGTTAGTCGTTTTAGAACGTTCAGTTCAAATCAACACGTTAAAATAAACACAACGCCCAACTAACTAAGTGATCTCTGGTGATTTCATCTTCTGACTGGTGTCCCTGCTCCTCCATGGGGTTGCTATGGTTACGCAGCAGAAGAGTTTGAATGGGTTTATTTCTACACGGTTTGTTTATTTGGTTCTGATTCACAGCTGAGTTTGATCCAAACTGCAGATTTTCTGTTTTTTTTTTTAACTCACCTCTGTCCCAGAGACAAGTCGTGAATGTGTTTCCTCTAAGCGACTATTCTTTTTGTTGTGTAAAATCTGGAAAACATTTGGAGGTTAACAGGAAAAAGTAATAAGAAAAGTAATTTTCCTCAACACTTGTGTTCTTTGTCCATCCCTGACATCCTGTAACCCTTCAAGAGGTGTGTTAGCTTTTAGTTTCTTCTCCATGCTCAGGTTTACATGGAGCAGGGATCGCTGTGGAACAAGTGAAGGGAGGAGAACCTGAGCAGAACACAAACAGCATTCCTTATCTGCTCACTCAAGTTCTGCAATAACAGAGCTGTGGCCTTTCCACAGGGTCAGAGAGGAAAATAAAATGAATCTGACAATAAGCAGCAGAATAGGGCTCAGAGAGTAAAAAATACAGTAAAAATCATTCAAGTTTTAATGGGTGATTTTAAACAAACATCTGATCTTCATCAGGAGTTCAGTCAGAACTTTTATTTATTCCACAAAACAAATTCCAGAAGCTTCATTCTTACTCTTCCACCCACTTTGCTGTTCTGGAGAATACAGGCGTGTGTTAACACGGGACTGTCTACAGTGATATCAGAGAAGCTTCCTTCCTTCAGTCAGGGAAAGGTCAAAGGTCATCGAGTCCTCCCAGGAGAGTATAGGTCCTTCTAAAAAAATTAGCATATTGTGATTAAGTTCATTATTGTCTGTAATGTACAGATAAACATTAGACTTTCATGTGTATTAGAGTCATTACACACAACTGAAGTAGTTCAAGCCTTTTATTGTTTCTAATATTGATGATTTTGGCGTACAGCTCATGAAAACCCAAAATTCCTATCTCAAAAAATTTGCATATTTCATCCGACCAATAAAAGAAAAGTGTTTTTAATACAAAAAAGGTCAACCTTCAAATAATTATGTTCAGTTATGCACTCAATACTTGGTCGGGAATCCTTTTGCAGAAATGACTGCTTTAATGCGGCGTGGCATGGAGGCAATCAGCCTGTGGCACTGCTGAGGTGTTATGGAGGCCCAGGATGCTTCGATAGCGGCCTTAAGCTCATCCAGAGTGTTGGGTCTTGCGTCTTTCAACTTTCTCTTCACAATATCCCACAGATTCTCTACGGGGTTCAGGTCAGGAGAGTTGGCAGGCCAGTTGAGCACAGTAATACCATGGTCAGTAAACCATTCACCAGTGGTTTTGGCACTGTGAGCAGGTGCCAGGTCGTGCTGAAAAATGAAATCTTCATCTCCATAAAGCTTTTCAGCAGATGGAAGCATGAAGTGCTCCAAAATCTCCTGATAGCTAGCTGCATTGACCCTGCCCTTGATAAAACACAGTGGACCAACACCTGCAGCTGACATGGCACCCCAGACCATCACTGACTGTGGGTACTTGACACTGGACTTCAGGCATTTTGGCATTTCCCTCTGCCCAGTCTTCCTCCAGACTCTGGCACCTTGATTTCCGAATGACATGCACAATTTGCTTTCATCTGAAAAAAGTACTTTGGACCACTGAGCAACAGTCCAGTGCTGCTTCTCTGTAGCAGTTCCAGGTCAGCCGCTTCTGTCGCTGTTTCTGGTTCAAAAGTGGCTTGACCTGGGGAATGCGGCACCTGTAGCCCATTTCCTGCACACGCCTGTACACGGTGGCTCTGGATGTTTCTGCTCCAGACTCAGTCCACTGCTTCCGCAGGTCCCCGAAGGTCTGGAATCGGTCCTTCTCCACAATCTTCCTCAGGGTCCCGTCACCTCTTCTCGTTGTGCAACGTTTTCTGCCACACTTTATCCTTCCCACAGACTTCCCATTGAGGTGCCCTGATACAGCACTCTGGGAACAGCCTATTCGTTCAGAAATGTCTTTGTGTCTTACCCTCTTGCTTGAGGGTGTCAATGATGGCCTTCTGGACAGCAGTCAGGTCGGCAGTCTTACCCATGATTGCGGTTTTGAGTAATGAACCAGACTGGGAGTTTTTAAAAGCTTCAGGAATCTTTTGCAGGTGTTTAGAGTTAATTAGTTGATCCAGATGATTAGGTTAATAGCTCGTTTAGAGAACCTTTTCATGATATGCTAATTTTTTGAGATAGGAATTTTGGGTTTTCATGAGCTGTACGCCAAAATCATCAATATTAGAAACAATAAAAGGCTTGAACTACTTCAGTTGTGTGTAATGAATCTAATATATATGAAAGTCTAATGTTTATCAGTACATTACAGACAGTAATGAACTTTATCACAAATGCTAATTTTTTTAGAAGGACCTGTATCAGAAACATACCCATTCCAGAACAAACAGCTGAGCCCTGTGCTGATGGGTTGGGCCAGTTCTGCAGCCACAGGACTTGGATCTGGGCACCTTTCAGGGCCGAGATCACCATGACCTCGTCTAGTCTCGCCATCAAGCTCGGTCCCAAGCGGGTCGTGAATGACTAGAGTCTCAGACTCTAGTTTTAGTCACTGACACCAGAGGTTTATTAGACGAGGCTAGCGTTCCCACTGAGGCAGATTAAACCAGATTCCTCTGGTGTGTTTAAAATCAACAGTTTTTAAGCTAAAACTACAAATGTAATGAAATGTATGTTTTTAACAATATTCTGAGTGCTTCGTCTCTAAACGATGAGCCTGTTGGTGGATTAAAGCTGTTTGGATGATTTTAGGATATCCGTGTGATGTTTTAATCAAACTGCTGCTTATTTATCTTCTTACTGGATGAAGAAATCTGATGTTTTCCTGACACCTGCTTTTAAATGATTATTGCTGTAATCCATCTTCCAGGCTGAGTACTTTCTGAAACTCTCCACTCCACCGAGGATCAGCAGGCTGAGAGGAAGAAAGGTTTACGATGCAAGAGGACAACCGTCCATCCAGGCGGACGTCTTCTGCACCATCTGCAACCTGGAGAAGGTGAAGCGGCGTTTTTACTCCTTTATTACAGCCAAGCTCGGCCTTTCACATCCAGCTGTACCTCAGAGATCAAACTCAACCCAGCTCTCGGATCGGCTCAGACCAGCTGATGGTCCTACTGGCCCTGGCTGGATGTTCTGTTCAGATGGAGTGAATGGACATGTGGTTTATTACCCATGTAATGATTAGAAAGGCCGATGGGGAGTCTGCTCAGACAAACAGGAGGCTGTAATTCAGAACGACAGCTGGAATAAAAGCAGCAGTCAGCCAAACTGTGACCTACGACTCTTCCCTTTTCAGTTGTACTGTAGGGAGAGCGAGATGAGATGTGACACCATGAACCGGAACAGTCGGGTCACACACGAATCAGAACCTCTGGAGCACACACTCCTCAGATGCTTCTGATTTACTTTAATTTAGAGAAAACGGGTTGCTGGGATGACGCTAGGCCCTTCTCATCAGGTTTTTATGTTTCTGGGAATTAAAAAGATGTTTTATGATGAATTACTGAGGAGATGTTCTCCTCGTTCCTCCTCCCACCAGCTTCATCAGAGGAGAACCACACAGCCCTGTAGGGTGGAGAAGGCTCTCAGAGGTGTTTTGGTCAACACCGGTTTAACTTTAGTCACTAGGACCAGCAGCGGATTCACAAAGACTAAACTTTGGATAAAAACCTTTACCAGATACAGAAACCCTCACCCTGACCCTTAGGTTAACCTTAACTAGAAAACAATCCACCCGTCAGATCCAGGCAGTCAGATGCTTTTCTGTGAGACCAGAGCTTTTTATGTCTCACAGACTCAGACAGAATAAACAGTTTGTTTATTTCATTGCACAATGTTTACTTAAAAACTGAATATTTGAGACTTTCAGCTTTTTGTTTTGGCAGAAAGAGTCTCAGCTCAGTCTCATCTGAGACAGAGTGTGAGACCAAGTAGAGACCGATTAGAGTCATGGAAGAAAATCTGAGAAGTGGGGTTACCAGGTCACCTTAGAGGATCGGAGACTAAATCTGTTTCCAGCCAGGAAAACAAGTTTTCCAAACAACCCAACTCACCTAATCATCATTCAGATCATCAAACTGGACCTGAAGAAGTTCTTCCCGCTCTCGTTCTTCAGATCACGTCCTCAGCTAGTGTCTCCAGCTGCCTCCCTCCTGAGGGGATGTCCCTGTACCAGGACAGAACCCATCATGTGACCACAGCTGCCCAGTGGATCAATGAACATTTGAGTGACGAGCTGAAGGACCAAGACCCGTGTGACCAATCAGAGGTGGACCGAAGACTCAGGTAGGTCCAGCTAAACGATCATCGTGAGCTGTTATTATTATTATTGTCCATTTAGTTTTACAATCAGAAGTTTTAACTTTCAGTTTGAATTCAAAAACACTTTATTTTCCCAAATTGAAATAAAATAATATAAATTTAATCAATCAAAAAATAAAGAAATAAGTACTAATTCAAAAGAAAGATATAAAGTGATTAGTTTACAATAATCAGGAAAATCTTTTCAATAAAGAATAACTTTTGGTTATAAATGCATATATTTTTCCCACTGAGTCGAGTTTATTTATTGACCTCCAATTCAAAGTGAAGGGAGTTCTGGTCTGATTCAGGTGGAAAGCCCCCAGCCAAGTTTTCTTCATTAGAATCACATTCAGTCTTTTTCAGTTAAACCAGGTAAGCAAAGAACTAACAGATCAGATGAAGTTTTCAGGAGAAACTTTAAAATGTTCGAGAGAACAAATAATAAAGGAAACAAATTGTCCTAAACTCACCCTCTGCATCTTTTTGTGCTGCCACATGGGTCTGCTGCCTCTAGAAACTCCAAACATGAATAAAATCCACCCATCTGTGATTGGTTTGATATGCCATTTCAGAATGTCCTGTTTGTGACATCACAATAAGGGATAATAGCATAGAACCCCCTCTCAGCGTCATGTAACTGATGTACCATACCATTTTATTTGTGGAGTGCATTAAAAGCAGCGTTACGGCTGACCAAAGCGCTGTACGTTTAAAACAACAAGCTAAACAGTCCCATAGAGCAAACCAAACAGGCAATTAGAACCATAAAATACACAAAGGTAAAATTAAGTAATCAAGGAAAACCTATACTAAACCTAGCTTTGAGTTAAAAGAATTGTAAGTCTTTTATTGTGTGTTTGAATCAGAAGTGAAACGCGCATGCAGCATCATGTTGGACGTATCTGGTACCGTGTTCTGAGCCATGTTTGATTCATTCATCCAATCCCTGGTTAGAGTTGGTTACCGAAACCAAAACAAACACCAGGTACTGTCTAGAAATGTCTTTGTTGTTTACATTTATCTGATCTGGAGAAAAACCAAACGTCTGATCAAATCTGAATGATCCACCTGGGTCACATGGATCTGAAGTGTGTGTTGACCTATCTGAGTGGGGTCATGCAGGGGCTAATGCTTTGCTCTGGTATTAATTCAAAATACACGACGACGACGTCTCATTCCAAAAGCTTTATTCCTGTGCCATTTTCTCCCCGCTCACACAACAATGACTCCCGGGATTCCAGAACTCCCGCGATATAACCGGTACTCCCGCGATATAACAGCAAATAACAAGTTAACAATCTCCCTCTTTCTTTCTTAAAAAAAAAACCTAAAAAATAAAATTATAAACACATCCCTGTAAACATTTGTATATGTATGTGTATATATTCATATAAACAAAAATAACATTTCAATGCGCTTTGCTTTACTTAAAGCAAACTATCATAGCATACAATAAACAATAGTGCATTTTAATGCAAAGACAACTTTGTAAACAAAGGATTACAGTATCCAGAGTCCTTCATCTAGTGCCTTTAGAAGGGTCAAAGGTGAAAATCCTTTTTTTGTCAGACAATAAGCAAGTTGAGATTTTGAATCTGACCAACAAATCTGTCTGATTTTCTTGGCTTGTATGAGCTCTTTAACTCATTCACTGCCAGCCGTTTCCTGATCACTAACGGCCTTCGCTGCCAGCGTTTCTCACCGTTTTTACTGTTTTTTTAAGAGTCACAGAACGTTGCGCGCTAGCATGATGTCGATGCCAAAACAACCAAAATAAAGAGGAGACTCACCTCTTACATCAGGAAGAAGCCGCGTGTTTCGAGCGTTATCCATTCTTTAATAATCCGTTGTCGAATTGTGATCGGCAGACGCTTTTCCGGTTCGCGCCTCACCTTTTTTTACAGGAACGGCCCAAAACGATCTCCAAACACATGGATGTGTTGCCTCCCTGATCATGTGATCTGTGACGTATGCGGATGTTGATCAGCTTCAGGGCTGAGATGTTTGTTCTCTCAGCGCAGGGGCTCGTTCCAATGCTCAAACAGTAAAAACATGCCAATGACGACTTTGAACGGTTGGATCTAAAATGATGACTTTAGTCGTCAATGGCAGTGAATGAGTTAATGCTGCTTATTTCCAGCCTGAGTCTTTTTTCTGTAACCTGCTTGGTAGACCTGAGTGCGTCAAACAAGGAATGACTGTCAGTCACACAGATCAAAGGAAGAGCGTTCAGACCAGTGTTGCCAGTAGTAAGCTCAGAAAAAAGTGTTGCCAGGAATACAGCACTGTCTATTCCATCTGACATGGCAAGGGTCTCTCCTGCCAGTGTACTTCTAACCACACGCCTGATTTTTTTAGACTGCCAAAAGACAGGACAAAACTTTCCTCCTTTACCCATGAGGACGATTAATGTCCCTCCTTGGGTACCTCCATCAGGAAGGTTGCCAAATGAAGCACCACTGAAAATAACCAATACCAAATCCTCACTGTTACCCAAATGCTGAAACTTAAGAGTCACTTTCTCTGCTTTAAGTTTACGGATAACTTTGTTCACTTCATGAATAGACTGTACAGTTGCATGTTTGATATTGGATCCAAGGTTACATGTGTCAAACATAACATCAGGCCTCGTTTGTTTGGCAACCCACAAAATATGCCCTATTTTTGACCTGAGTTGCTCACATTCTGTTTCACTTAAGGAAGCATCTCTCTGTACAGCTCGTGCTGCTTGTAACTGAACCGGTTGTAGGTTGTCAATGTAAAGTTGATGCACCTCTATTACATCGTTAACTGTACAAATGTCCATACCAACATAAGAAAAGCTGTCATGTTCTTCACGGCCCACAAGGAAGGTGGGAATGATATGAGTTGCAAAGTGACTTGAACCAGCCCAAAGGAAATCATCAACGTGACATGCAAGCACTCCTGTAATCTCAGATTGGTCATTCTGCCAATAGAACACTGCAGGATCAACCTGTGATATTTTACCACCAGTTTTGAGCATAATGTCTTTGACCGTATTGTACCAATAAAGTGAAGCATCTTGCAAGTCCATAAACACACCTTTTCAGTTTCCATAGAACCTTGTCTTTGCCAGCTTCAGGTGGGGGACGAAGATAAATGTCTCTTGACAGTTCCATTCCCTGCAAGAAGGCAGATTTAATGTCCATTGAATTTACTCTCCACTTGTTTTGACATATCACAGCTAACACAAGTCTGAGAGACTCAGACGCACATGTTGGAGAGTCTTTCTGTAGTTCTTTAGTATTTACCTCTTCAAACCCGCGTGCCACAAGTCGAGCCTTTGGGACGACACCATTAGCAGTTTCTTTGAGTGTTCAGACCCATCTAGTAGACACACTTTTTTGACCCAGGTCTTTCACTTCATCAAACACACCATTACTTTACCAGCTCTCAATCTCCTGCTGCTTGGCAGAATCAAAAGAAGTATCTTTTGTTATGAGTACATCTGCATCTTTGTTTTCAGCGTCAGTGCAAAGACCATTAACAAGTGACATGTCTACAGCTTTCTTTTCACCTTCACTACCATCATGCTCAAGATATTGCACATTGTACCAGTTTTTGTGTTGCCCTTTTGCTTTTCCCGCTCTGCCTAGCACTCTGGCTGTGTGTTGAACACCGTTGTCTCTGTTGGTAAAAGTGAGCTGTCCTGCCCTTAACTTTACATTTGCAGAGGAGACAGGATCAGTGGGTGTAGAGGGCTCATTTACAGTTTGTGTGACAGACATGTTTTCTGTAGTGTTAGTTTCTCTGTCAGTAGTGATGTCTTCTTCCTCACTAATACTCTGTTCACCATCGGGTGTGTCATTGTCATCATTTTCAACTGTGTCTTTGTTGTCAGTGTCATCATCTGTAGTAGTGTGTGGTGTTTGTTCATTTCCACTCTGTGCATCCACTTTACTCAACCTTGACTGGTGCACTCTTACTAGAGTCCCCCCATGTCTTACAAATACAACAGCTGCATCCTGCCCAATAACTACACCTGGACCCTTCCACTCTGTACAGTCGACTCGTTTGTAGTATACTTTTTCTCCTGCCTCATATTTGTCATCTGTAGGCCTAAGTTGCTTGCGTAGTGCTCTCCTAATCCTTTCTGAACACTCTGCCTCAGTAAATGCTTTCCTGGAAGCATGTAATGCTGATATGTGTTCAGCTACTCTTGCACTTACAGTTGTGCCCTCTAGGGCAGGTGGCTTGTCCAGCAACACCGAAGGAAGGATGGGGTTTTGGCCAAACACAAGTTGATGTGGGCTATAACCATGTACATTAAGCATACTGTTTTTGCCATAAGGGCCCAGTCTAACGCAGTGTGCCAGTCGCATCCTCGTTCCTTTTTTACCTTCAGGAGAATTTCTGTAAGTGTCATGTTATGTCTCTCCAGTAGCCATTGTCTTTACCTCATTGTTGAAGTTTTCAGCCATGTCCCGAATCTCTGTGTTGTTGAACTCTCCGCTGTTGTCTCTGTAGAGCCGTTTGGGAGCACCGTGAATACTTATCCAGGTATGAATGAAGGAGTTGACCATCTCTGTAGCTTTCTTTGTCTTTACGATGCTGCCGGCACTGAAGCGTGTGAAGTGGTCAATGATGTGAAGGTACCACACATTGGGCTCCAGCTCATGTAGATCCATCGCTACTGTCTCATTATACTCAGAAGCCAGGGGTAGACCAACAGCAGGTCTTGGCTTGGTTTTTCAATATCTCTGACAAATGTCACAGTCACGAACGACCTCTTGTAGAATAACTGCACATTGCCTATCTGTAGTTTGGATGAGCCTCAATAACGTCTCTGCAGATGCATGACCAAACTGCTTATGAAGCTTCACAAGGACTTTCTGTTTCTCTTTTGTAGACATTTCAGCAGTTACCATGAGAACTTCATTTTCATTGCAGCTTCCTGTGGTATTTTCATCTCTAATGTCCACACAATAGTGTCCCGAACTAGTGAGCTCTAAGGGAACAGGCTGCTTGAACATGACAATGCTGCCATTCTCCATGTCTAGAACGGTCCCTGCTTTCTTGAGAGACGTTTTGCTCAGTAATAGTGGAATGTCAACAGAAACTACTTCACTTTCAATGTCACATTTCGTTTGTCCAATCTTGGCTGGAAGTTTCACTTTTCTGCTGGAATACACTACAGTACCATCTCCAAAGCGAAATGGTCTGGAGCTGGGGATTTCTGATTGCAACATCTTGTTTACTTGGCCTTGGCTGAGGCCACCCATGTAAATATCTAGCCACTTCTGACCACAAACTGTGCGTGTACATGCAGTATCAATGATGGCTGACCCCAGTGCTTCAGTCAGGAAGATTTCAGAGTCTGTCATTGAGGCTTTTGTGTACAAAGTAATGTTACACTCCTCCACTTTCCCATCTTCGGTTAGCTTTACTTGGTCACCATTACGATGAGTACAGTCTTTCGCCCAGTGATAAGTGCTCTGACAAATAGCACATCTTGTTCGCTTGCCAAACTTGTCAAGTGGGTTGGTACCTTGTAGTGGTTGTTGCTGTCCACTCCGTGACGAAGCACCGTTGTTTCGTTTGTATTTGAGGCCTTTTTGCTCCGTAAGGAAAATTGCATCTTGATTCAGTTGATCTTGGTTCAGTTGAATTCTGCTGAAAACTCCGGCTACTTTCCCTCCAAAAATCCGTTTCAGTGCAGACTTCATAGACGCAAACGTTAAGTCCGTGCACGCTGTCAGTGCAAGCTGTCGACTTTTCTCATCAAGACAAGCTGTATCTAGAAGCTTAAATGCTAGCACAGCATCAGGCAGCGTCATGTTGTACCTTTTCATCCGATTATAACGCTGTTCGAAGTCTATAATGTAGTCTGCCATTGACACGCTGTGGCTCTTTGTAATGGAGTCAAAACACGAGTAGGCTTCATAAGCGTAGTCTTTCTCTTCTCTCTGAAATACCGCGTCAAGTTTTGCAAGCAGTATTTCCATACCGTCATCTTTGTCCAAATCTTCTGCGGGCATCTCCATGGCCGTTTCTCTGGCTCTTCCCTCGAGCCCCAGCGCCACCACGAGTGCCTGTTTCTTTTTATCCAGCTCCGTAACTCGTCTCCAGATATTGACTTCATTCTTCCAGCACTCATATGGCCTGGCTTCATCAAGCTTTGGTGGTACTTTGTAATTGGAAACCATCCTCTGCTACCAATGTTAATTCAAAATACACGACGATGTCGTCTCATTCCAAAAGCTTTATTCCTGCGCCATTTTCTCCCCGCTCACACAACAATAACTCCCGGGCTTCCAGAACTCCCGCGATATAACAGCAAATAACAAGTTAACATCTGGTTCTTCTCTTGTCACAGCTGATCATATCACCATGATGCACTAAGCTCCTGTTATCATTCCCTATTTGCATTCTGTGTTGTTACACGCTAGTAAAGCTTAACATGTTTCCATGGAGACAATGACTGGGATGGACGCAGGACTCAAACCTAAACCTTCAGCAGGTTAAGTTAAAGGTAAAGTGCCATTAGTCATCACACACTGGTGAAACACATTGGACCTGTCCATCCACTGGGGGAGCGGTGAGCTGCAGGCACCATTTGGTGGTTTAACCCCTCAATCGAACCCTTTCATGCTGAGTGTTAAGAAGGGAGGCATTGGGTCCCATGAAGGAGTCAGCTGGAGGAGAGAGAGTGGCAGAACACAAGTTTGATTGGCTAACAGCAACACCACTCTACCACTGACTGTTTTCTCTGCAACGTTGATGTTTTATCTCACAAATAACAAGTCTGGAGGAGTTCTGCTGTGTGGTGGAGTTTCTAATGCTAACTGGTAGCTTCTACTAGCCAAGACATTCTTTTCTAGAGACTAAACCAAGCGGCCATTTTGGTCTGCATTTTTTGAAGCCAAGAAGAAGTGGCTAAAACTGCAGTTCCATCCTCATCCGCTAGGGACTGGCACTGGAAGTGAGCAAATCCTAACCCTAACCCCTTGCTAAAGTGGGAGTCAAGGCATGGGTGGAGACTTATTTCATCCACACTTCCTGTTAGGAAAACACGCGGCGGACCGAGAGCGTGGCACTGAGGCAGTGATAGACGGCACCTCTCTCATCCTTTTAGTGTTGCACACCTTCAAAGGTTTCTCTTTACATACTAATAATTATATATTTTATGTTATGTTATTATGAAGCAACTTCTTTAAGGCCCGTCTCCAGGAGGACAAAGACATCCAGGAAATGGAGAAGCAGAGGAGTCTCACATCCACCAAACAGGAGGTGGAGCCTCCAGCTCCTCCATCTGCTAAGACTAGAGACAAGAGGAGCACCGGTAAGGGTTCAGTTAACCAGTAACACCACTCTGCTGCTCTAAGACCAGAAACAAACATCCTTTAGTCTAAAGTAGAAACTGTCCTGTAGGTGTGGTAAGTTTTACATGAACCAGGTGACTTGTGTCACTGAGACTTGGAACTAGACCGTCTGTTCACTAGAGGTGGGAAACAGCCTTGTGAATATGTAAATCCTTTCTTTAGAGTGTTTTTATAAGATGGACTATTGTTTGCAGGGAAGCTGCTTCCTCCGGCAGAACCTCTGGAGCCCGTTCTGCCTGGGAGCATGGCCATCGGCGCGGTGTCGCTGGCTGTAGCCAAAACCGGGGCTCAAGTCAAGAATATCCCGCTTTACAAACATGTAGCATATCTAAGGAACCACGAGGTTTGACTAAAACCCAGACAGAATAAAAGCTACAGCAGCCACGTTCACTGATTCCTACTTTTGTTCAGGCCCCAGGTCAGTTTCACATCCCCGTCCTGTTGGTAACGCTGCTCAGCTGTGGGAAGACATCTCCTGGAAAACTGTGCTTATTGGAGGAAGTCATTCTCATCCCCAAAATGGGACAACAAGTCAAACAAGTACTGCCTCATTAAAACCCGGGTCCTTCGAGTTTACTCACAGCTGTGGCCAGATGTTTAGAGAAAGGTTTTCTTTACAGTTTGCTGGTCTGGTTTATCTTTCACCAACGTAGAATCACAGTGTTTCGTGAACAAAGAGTCTGCATCTCCAGCTTTGGTCCTTCTAGACCTCTTTAATCCACCCTGACCTGCTGCTCCAGATCCTGACTGATGAAATGTCATCCCGTTCGGGTTGTATCGGATTGAGAGAGGTGTCCGATCATCTTCCCAATTATTGTCCATGTACACACCCATTCTTGTTGGAATAAAACAATGCCCACTGCACGTGTGCAACTTCAGCGCGGCGTCTCTATGCCTTTGCAGACGCTCAGGACAGTCAAAAACATGGCGGGAGGTTAACAGAAGCGGTCTGTTGCCGAGTAGTAGCGTTATGTACCGCTGAGCCTGTAGCTCAGTTACAGCGATGAGTAAAAACAAGAGCATACCGGTAAAAATGCAAAGAAGGTCCATAACGGGGAAAAAAACGTGCGTCAACTAACAAAGCTAGAGAACAAAGAAAAATCCCTGACGTGTAACCCTAAATACCTAACCATTAACCCTTAATCCCTAACCATTAATCCTTAATCCCTAACCATTAACCCTTAATCCCTAACTATAAACCCTTAATCCCTAACTATTAACCCTTAATCCCTAACCATTAACCCTTAATCCCTAACCATTAACTCTTAATCCCTAACTATTAACTCTTAATCCCTAACTATAAACCCTTAATCCCTAACTATTAACCCTTAATCCCTAACCATTAACCCTTAATCCCTAACCATTAACTCTTAATCCCTAACTATTAACTCTTAATCCCTAACTATAAACCCTAAATCCCTAACTATAAACCCTAAATCCCTAACTATAAACCGTTCAGTTCAGGATCAACTTCTAAATCGCACTGCTTGCATTCAAATGTTTGAACAGTCAGCCCCCCCCCCCCCCCCCCCCCCCCCCCCAAAATATGAGCAAACTCCTCCATTTCTCCCACCCCTCTCGTGCTCTTTGGTCGGGAGATAAATTCCTCCTCAACGTCCCTGAGGTGCGTTTGAGGACTCGCGGGAAAAGGGCTTTTTGTATCTGTGCCCCAAAACGTTGGAATTCCCTACCCCTTCCTGTTAGACGAGCACCCTCGCTTCCCACCTTCTCCATGGCCTTCCATTCTTAGCATCGACAGTTCGTCATCCCTCCTTCCACTGTGGTTTTCCCATCCTAAATCTGTGGTCTGACTACTTTTAATATTTTTTACTGTTTTTGTTTGGAACAGTTCTTTGTTGTGTTATTTTTAATTGATTATGACTCGACTGTTTTATGCTTTAGTTTTATTTTGTACAGCGCTTTGGTTGGTTGTAATGCCATGTTAAAGCGCTTTTATAAACAAAATGCTATGGTGTCCATTTAAACGGGGCAGTGCAGGGATGCCACTGCTAAAGAAAGACCAGTACATCATTTTAATCAAATAATGACATTAATAATAGACTCTTTTTTAGTCCTGGTTCTAGTTAAATACTTACCTGTGCTCAGCGTTTAAGCTCTCTTTTATAAAATGTATGAATATATAATTTAATACATGATGAGCTGGACTTAACGGTTGACCATGAACTGTTTTCACTCTTTGGAGTTGATCGTTTTTGTGCTTCTTTTGTTGTTTGTGAAGAATAAATTGGAAGTTTCTAAACTGAGAACTTCTTGAACAGATCATCGGGATGACCCTCGAGCTCCAGGAGGAGATGAGGAGAATAATGAGCGGCTCAACAAAAGCTGGGGTGAGGAACAACGCCGTGCTCTCGACGACACGCTGAGTTCATGCAGGTCGCTGCTAACAAAACACGGGAGACGTGAATCAGAGCTCAAAGCTTTTCTTAACAATATGTATATAAAAAGGACATTACAATTGCAGCTTCATGGCTAATCTTTCATAAAGTAACGCTGAGCGTGTTAAAGCGTTTAATACTTGGCCTACTTCACCTCTAAATCCTCCACGTGGCCTTTCTGCTGCACACAATTATTTCCTGCTTTGTTCAGCATCCTCTAAGCTCACATTTATGACGTGAAGTGGAGAGTTGAGTTCCACGCTTAGCTTCTACAAACCTTCCAGTGGCCTCATTTAATTCAATACACACGTATTATCTATTGTCACTCATGTGCAGCCTTAGCTAAGCTGTTTTTCAACAGACGGAGATGTTAGGAACAAGGCGTGTTAATGTATTTATTATTGGATGTGTGAGATTAGACTGTAATGACTAGATGATGCTTGTGTTTGCTCCAAGGCCGCCTCCAGCCTCTGGTGTGACAGCGGAGCTCCAGCTGTGGGCTACAACCAACCCAAGGAGCCCCTGGATCTGATCACCGACGCCTGTAGGAACCTCGGGGTAGAGCTGGGAACTGACGTTTATTTAGCACTCAACTGTGCTGCTCCAGGGCTGCTGGACTATGTGAGTTTACCAAAGAGACGTAATGAGACTTTCAGCTTTTCTCTGTTAAAGATGAAAATGCATAAAAACCCATCCTGTTCCTCAGACTAGCTGTTAGCTCATCCATCCTTCTGTTATGTCAGATAAAAACTAATATTTTTTGTTTGTTCACAATAGGAAACTGTTCTTTGAGACTATATAACACTCAAAACTTTGTTGGGGCTCAAACTTGCCCAGGAGTCCTGCTAAAGGGTCAAATACAAGCCCATAAGAAAGCTCTACAAATGAAAGAGTGGTTTGCTCCGCCCACTCAGCCAGGACATGAATATTAAAAGAGCTGGTTAGCTCTACGAGGCTGCCTGAAGCCGTGTTTTAGTATCCGAATAACTAAACAGGCAAGTTGTGGATCTATCTGGCACTCATTCCAAGTCTGGATTTTCCCAGCACATCCTGGAACGTTAGACGTGAGCGCCAACATTCTTCGTTGTTGTTTTCTCTTCCTGCAACAAGGACGTTAGCAATAGCTCAGGCTAGCGTTCTGTGGGCAACATTTATATATCGCAGACGCTGAAGTTTGATGGGACATTCAAATGTAAGGAGGAGTGTCTCAGCTGTTCTGTGTCTCGGCGGCCATTACAGCATTACAGGAAGGCAGGACAGAGACAGAACAGACTGGTTTATTCAGCCACAACAAGGTATTCCGGTTTTAAACTCCAGAACACACGTTATCTACTAGTCCCTCATAACTGTTATACAGAAACACTCAAAAAATGGCTCAAAGGTTCATCATCAGTAGTTCACCTGGAGACCGCGTGCTTCTGCTCGCAGGCCAAAGGGAAGTATGAAGTTTGTACGGGAGTTCTGAAGAGTCCAGACGAGTTAGTGGACCTGTACCAGTCCCTCATCAGCAGGTACCCAGCTGTGGTGGCTCTCATCGACCCATTCAGGAGGGAGGTGAGTTCAGAACATCTGTTTATGTGTGAGTAGTTAGTGAAACAATCACAGCTGGCTTTACTTTACGGGTCAGTTAAACGCCAAACTAGTCCTAAAGTTTATGAATGAGTTTAATCTCCAGCAGATACAGAAGCAGCGTCACCCGTTTACTCCACAAACATTTATTCTCCTTGTGTGTGTGTGTGTGTGTGTGTGTGTGTGTGTGTTTACTGAAGTGTGTGTTATTCTCATGTATCCTGTGTGTGTGTGTGTGTATGTGTGTGTGTGTGTGTTTACTGAAGTGTGTGTTATTCTCATGTGTCCTGTGTGTGTGTGTGTATGTGTGTGTGTGTGTGTGTGTGTGTGTGTGTGTGTGTGTGTGTGTGTGTGTGTGTGTGTGTGTGTGTGTGTGTGTTTACTGAAGTGTGTGTTATTCTCATGTATCCTGTGTGTGTGTGTGTGTGTGTGTGTGTGTGTGTGTGTGTGTGTGTTTACTGAAGTGTGTGTTATTCTCATGTATCCTGTGTGTGTGTGTGTGTGTGCTTTTTGAGGACACCAAGCAATGGGAGCAGCTCAGCAGGGTGTTGGGAGATTCCTGCTCACTGCTAAGTGACATCACCCAGAATCCCCAGGCTCCGCCCCTCCCAGGTGCTCGAGGGTATGTCCTAAAACAGGTCAACGAGACAACGGTCAGCGATATGGTCCACATCACATCAGACCACCGAGGTATTTAGCTAAATTATTAAAGATGAGGACGTCCTTGATGTTTCAAACGTTTCTGTTTAATTATTTGCTGTAAAGGAGTTACATTTTTGTTCCTTTAATGCTAAAAAGGGTCCTTGAACAAGAGTGTTCCTGGATTCCTCTTGTTTCTAATGAAGGACTCGACAGCTCGCTAGCGCCACACGTGGCTGGATAGAATAGCCAACTACTGGGTTCGTTTTAAAACAGCACCGACTATTGGAACGATGTAATCAGAACATAGAGGAGATGCCTGCCCATAATTCAGAGCAGCAAACTGACAGCATGGAGGTGGAGGGTTGATGGTTAGGGAGCTGATGTTTCCAGTTACGCAGTTAGGAGAAAAGTTCTCTGATTGGTTCTGATTCATTCTGGGTTCCTGTTGCCCCCCTTGCCCCTGTGCCTTGGGTTTTACCTTAATTGTGCCCACCTGCCTCTTGTTACCTGATTACCCATCCCATACGCCTTGTGTGTTGCTATTGTGTTTGTCGGTTCGTACTCGTTACATGTCAGTTTGTGTTCACATCTGTCTACCCTGTCGTGCCTGCACTCCTGACCATTGAAGAGGAACCAAATGTCTGCTGCTGTCCTGCCTGGCTTGATTTACCTGCCTGAAGGATCCGCTCTTCCTCCCTCACCTTCCCTCCCACATCGTGACATCCTGTGTGTTTATTCTGCAGGTTTGGTGCTGATGGGAGCGGCGTATGGCGAACCCTGCAGCGATGCGTCATTCTCTGACATCGTAAGGTTGATTCTTTTAGCTTGTGCCTCCTAGCCTAGTGAACTAGACTAAATTCTTGCTTTGCAAAGTTTGGTCTAGACATGCTCCATTGGAACCTCCGCAGCTCCTACCAGGACTCTGGCTAGCCAATCACAGCTCTCTAGAGGGGTTTCAAACACATAAAGAGCTGTGATTGGTCCATAATGGTGGGCCAATCATAGTGCTCTATCTGCTTAGTGAACAAATCACAGAGCTTTATCCACTTAGTGGGCCAATAAGGGCTCTCTATATGCCTGGTGGGTGGGATGATGCAGCAGAGTGAAACAAGAGTATGTCACATTCATTGTCCAGTGGAATGCGGAGATCATTTGAAAGACAACGGTAGAACCCGCCCCACAACCGAGAGCCGTCAATGGAGCGTGGCCAGACTAAATAATACATTTATTTAGTCTGGCTTGCCAGGCTATGTGCTTCCATCTTTCATCAGAAATCTAGTTTTCTATCTTCATGTCCAGATTTGAACATTCAAACTGAATATTTTACAATGTTTATATTAACCTTTCAATAATTGGATTTTGCAGACGGGGAAATTTAAATACAAGACAGAAGAATTATATATCAATGTCCTGAGGCCTGAGCTTTTGTTGGGGTGTTTATTACGCCCTGTGACCTCATAAACAACAAAGCACTTTTGTTTTAAAATGATTTGTTTCTCTAAAGTAAAAAGGGAAGAAAAGAATTGCAGGTACGAATCCCACGACCTCCTTTATCTTAAACGTCTGACACATTTGACCTTCCTGACTTCAGGCTGATGTAGAGCAGATGGTGCTTCTCTGGCAGGCTTATGATTGTTGCGGCCTCTGGGCTTTTCTTGAACCAGCTGATGAGGAAGGTGTCCTGCTCCGAGTCGCTACCAACACCGCCTGACCGCTGCTGTTCTCCCCTTCAGGCTGTAGGTCTGGGTCTGGAATATGTCAAACTGGGAGGTCTGAGTGGTGCTGAGAGGATGGCTAAATGCAACCGTCTGGTTTCTATAGAGGAGGAACTGGCCCAACAGGGAGACCTAGGTAGGTTTCTATGCTCCTCCCTGCCTCCTTTTAGCCGTCAGAGAAAAAGAGGCTCCACAAAGCCGGAGAGAGAGGCAGAAACGTCTGAGAACTCACAAATCTGTCTCTCTCAGCGCTGGATGTGAAAGGACAGTGTGTGTGTGTGTGTGTGTGTGTGTGTGTGTGTGTGTGTGTGTGTGTGTGTGTGTGTGTGTGTGTGTGTGTGTGTGTGTGTGTGTGTGTGTGTGTGTGTGTGTGTGTGTGTGTGTGTGTGTGTGTGTGTGTGTGTGTGTGTGTGTGTGTGTGTGTGTGTGTGTGTGTGTGTGTGTGTGTGAACCCCCTACCTTGAATCTGTTAATTGGCCACCTAATTACACCCAAGGACAAATGCTTTCCCATCCAAGGTTTGTAAAAGCCGGTGGGGACAGCGGAGGGTTAATGAGAGATCGGTGTGTAATCAGCTGCTGTTACACACATTTATTCATCATGTTTGTGTTTCCTGTTTATGTTGATCTGTTCAAGGTTTACAGTCAAAGTGATTCAGAGCAGCGGAAAGCAGGCGGCTGTGCTCAGCTTCTCGCTGCTTTATTCTGTCCACAGTCTATAAGGAGAGGCACCCCCCTCCTCTGTTCCCTGAGAAAGGACGAGAGCCTTCTACAGCGGAGTGAAGGCCTGGCGAGGCAGGACTACAGCCCCCGTCTGACCTAAAACAAGCCCTCAAAGGTTTGCTTCTGTTGTTTCATCATAAGTTCGCTCAGAGGGCTCCCAGGGCAATCTGCATTGATGACGTTACGTCTGCCTTCTCCCGTCTACTAGTTTAAAACGTTGATCTGAAGCACTTCAGAGGAAGGCTGAGTGGCCAGACATGACCCTCAGAAAAAAATAATAAATGTTTTGTGTGTCGGTTCACGTTTACAATAAAGACACACACATGATGAGGCGCTTTGTCTTCTTTACAAACACTGAACTGCTTTTGGGTTGAAATCAATCAACTCCAGAAAATCCTTCTCCAGGCGCGCTGACACTCATGAACCTTAAGTGTTCGCCGCAGAGAAAACAACAAAGCAGATCTAATCGTGGAGGTCAGCGCTGCTCATGACCACCGCTCTTCAGAACCGGGTTTACATCAACTCAGTCCGAGGCAGAAAACACTCAATCACCTCATTTTTCTGCCTGTCATTAGTGAGCATCAGCTGCTAGAAGACAGTTAAGTCACATCTTAACCACGATGCACTTCTTCCCAGATCTAGGAGAGTTAATTTAATTAGGTGATTTGAAAATGAGTTTATTCATTTTTATGTATTTCTGCTCAGTGCTGCTCTGAAAGCCACAAACGGATTTCTATCATGAGACTGCTGTCTCCGTTTGTCCAGTGGAAGGTGACATGAACAGAACCGTTCAGCCAGAGCTGTGGGCGGACAAACGGCAAACAGAGCCACGGACTGGTGTTGTCCAACAGTCTGTCCTGTTAGCAGAAGCAGTCAGGAAAAGGCCTTTTCTTAGCTGGTCATCAGCCCGCTGACCCCGCTGCTAGACCTGCATGTTGGGAAAAGCTGCTTCAATCAGGAAGGATGGAAAAAGGCAAACGTGAGGAAGAAGTATCCCTTCCATCTTGGATGCAGGAGGAAAACATCATGGCTGACCTTGTTCTGGTCTATGGCCTTCACAAGGGTCATCAGGGTCAATTAAACCAGTTTTCTTTCATCAAACGCTCTGTGGGATTTGACTGTTAATTCCCTCCGTACCAAAGAGGTCTAGTGTAAAATATCTACTAAATCTTGGGTTTAGACTGATCCTAGCATGGGCGTTTGGCCCCAGAAGGAAGTAAATCTCTACCTTTGTAAAGTGGAGAAATGCAAAAACCCGCATCACCCTTATGGACCCTCCTGAGTGATAGTTGTACCAGAAGCATCATGTGGTGAGCTCTCCTAACCCACACTCCAGCACATCAGGGCTGTTTCCAAATGTCGTCCCACTTCTAAACTATGAGCAAATGCTAATGCTGGCTCACCTCTGCTTTGATGGTTCCGGTTAGCATAGGTGCCAGTTAAATCAGGGACGCCGGGGACATGTCGCCATCACTTTTAAATATCAGAACTTTCATCCCCACCGCTTTTAAACAAGAAGGTTCCTAATAAAGAATGCACCTAACTGTGTTCCTGCCTGAAATTCATTCCTATTCCTCCATAACCCGTTCCAGTCATGGTGTTACTAGTTCACCATTAACTTATAAACTTTGATAGGCGTAGATCTATATTTCATTCAAATTAAAGTCCCATCAGTTGTCACACACACTGATGTGTGTGCGAAATGTGTTCTCCGCATTTGACCCATCCCCTGGGGGAGCGGTGAGCTGCAGACACGGCTGCGCTCGGGAACCATTTGGTGGTTTAACCCCCCAATCCAACCCCTTAATGCTGAGTGTCAAGCAGGGAGGCGTTGGGTCTTTGGTATGACCCGACCAGGAGTTGAACCCTGATCTCCCAGTACCAGGGCTGACACTCTACCACTAGGCCACTGATCTGGTAGCTCCTTCTGACGTAACCACATGACCACCAACTGCCATCCAAAATGGTGGCTGACATATTCAGACCGATGACACGATGAACAAAACCAGTGAAAGAAGGCCGCTGCTGCCTGGGGCTTATTTCAATGTTCACTTGGAACTTCCATCTGTTCCTTAATTATTAATACCTAACTAAAATATGGCTCAGTGGTGGATTATGAGGCAACACTTCCCTTTTTTAATCAATAAACACATAAATAAATAAATAAAAAGAGACCAGATTTGTTTAAAGATGTAAACAGACCTGTTTATTTTCTGCTGCTCAATTCAATCCTATTCAAGTTTATTTATAAAGCGCCAAATCACAAGAGTCATCTCAAGGACCTTCACACAGTAAACATTCCAATACAGGTCAGGTCATTAAGCCAATCAGTAACAAGTTTCCTATATAAGGAACCCAGCAGGTTGCATCGAGTCACTGACTAGTGTCAGTCTTTACAGCAATCCTCATACTAAGCTTGCATGTGCTCCATTTATAATTTTGGAGGGAAGAACAAAACCATAACATAAATCCTTGTTGCAGATGATATCAGATGTACCAAGATAAATCTACAGTTTCATTCATAGTAATAATAATGTTAGGTGTGCTTTTGTTTTGGTCTCACTTCCTGTTTAACAAACATCGGGTGTCCTTTAAAGCTGGACAAAGAAATGTAAAGGTTTTAGTTTGCTTGTTGCCCGCTGGCTCTCGTGTTTCTGTAAATGTCAGCGAGTGAAGACAACCTCTAATCAATAGAAGACACAGAGTGAGGATGGACACATGGATGCGCCTGGACCGAGGCCCCCCCAGCAGGCAATTACTGTGTTTGGGAAAATAAATGAAACGACTGACAAAACGGGTCAAATTAAGTGTTCCTCGACACGCCAAAAGGACCCCTCTAATTGCTGGAGGAAAATACAAATATAACAAAACATGAGATTGTACCGGTGAGACGACAGGGCTGAAGGAAAAGACGCCACAGCGCGGATAATTGTATGTTTCTCCTGGACGGAGAAGCGTGTTCCATCTGATAATTAAAGTCAGCAAGTCACTAGCAGATAGCAGAGGAAGAAGCTAAGCTAGGAGCTGAAGACGCAGAGCCAGAGAGCCGTGTCGCTTCTCTGGTGAGCTGTACCCGGATAGCCTGGACTAGAACAATCTGGACTAAAACAACCTGGACTAGAACAACCAGGAATAGAACAACCTGGAATAGAACAACCAGGAATAGAACAACCTGGACTACAAACACCTGGACCAGGACAACCTGGTGTAGAAGAACCTGGACTAGGACTACCTGGACTAGAACAACCTGGTGTAGAACAACCAGGACTAGGACTACCTGGACTAGAACAACCTGGTGTAGAACAAACAGGACTAGAACAGCCAGGAATATAACAACCTGGACTAGGACTACCTAGACTAGAACAACCTGGACTAGGACAACCTGGTATAGAACAACATGGACCAGGACTACCTGGACTAGAACAACCTGGTGTAGAACAACCTGGACTAGGACAACCTGGTGTAGAACAACCTGGACTAGGACTACCAAGACTAGAACAACCTGGACCAGGACAACCTGGTGTAGAACAACCTGGACGAGGACTACCTGGACTAGAACAACCTGGTGTAGAACAACCTGGGCTAGGACTACCTAGACTAAAACAACGTGGACTAGGAATACCTAAACTAGAACAACCTATACTAAAACAACCTGGACCAGGACAACTTGGTGTAGAACAACCTGGACTAGGATTACCTAGACTAGAACAACCTGGACTAGAACAACCAGGAATAGAACAACCTGGACTATAACAACCAAGAATAGAACAACCTGGACTAGAACAACCAGGAATAGAACAACCTGGACTATAACAACCAAGAATAGAACAACCTGGACTAGAACAACCAGGAATAGAACAACCTGGACTAGAACAATCTGGACTAGAACAACCTGGACCAGGACAACCTGGTGTAGAAGAACCAGGACTAGAACAATCTGGACTAGAACAACCTGGTGTAGAAGAACCAGGACTAGAACAATCTGGACTAGAACAACCTGGACTAGAACAAAACCAGGAATAGAACAACCTGGACTAGACCAACCTGAACTATATCAACCAGGAATAGAACAACCAGGAATAGAACAACCTGGACTAGGACTACCTAGACTAGAACAACCTGGACCAGGACAACCTAGACTAGAACAACCTGGACCAGGACAACCTGTTGTAGAACAACCTGGACTAAGACTACCTAGTGTAGAACAACCAGGAATAGAACTACATGGTGTAGAACAACCAGGAATAGAACACCCTGGACTATAACAACTAGGAATAGAATAACCGGGACTACAACAACCAGGAATAGAACAACCTGGACTAGAACAACCTGGTGTAGAAGATCCAGGACTAGAAAAACCTGGACTAGGACTACCTGGACTAGAACAACCTGGACTAGGACTACGTAGACTAGAAGAACCTGGACCAGGACAACCTGGTGTAGAACAACCTGGACTAGGACTACCTGGACTAAAACAACTTGGACTAGGACTACCTAGACTAGAACAACTTGGACTAGAACAACCTGGACCAGGACAACTTGGTGTTGAACAACCTGGACTAGGATTACCTAGACTAGAACAACTTGGACTAGAACAACCTGGTGTAGAACAACCTGGACTAGAACAACCTGGACTAGGACTACCTAGACTAGAACAACCTGGACTATGGCTACCTAGACTAGAACAACCTGGACTAGGACTACCTAGACTAAAACAACCTGGACTATGGCTACCTAGACTAGAACAACCTGGACTAGGACTATCTATACTAGAACAACCTGGACTAGAGCTACCTAGACTAGAACAACTTGGACTAGGACTACCTGGACTTTAACAACCTGGACTAGGGCTATCTATACAAGAACAACCTGGACTAGGGCTACCTGGACTTAAACAACCTGGACTAGGGCTATCTAGACTAAAACAACCTGGACTAGGGCTACCTAGACTAGAACACCCTGGACTAGGACTACTTGGACTTAAACAACCTCGACTAGGACTATCTATACTAGAAAAACCTGGACTAGGACTACTTGGACTTAAACAACCTGGACTAGAATTATCTATACTAGAAGAACCTGGATTAGTATTACCTAGACTAGAACAACCTGGTGTAGAACAACCTGGACTAGAACAACCTGGACTAGGGCTACCTAGACTAGAACAACCTGAACAAGAGCTACATAGACTAGAGCAACCTGGACTAGGGCTACCTAGACTAGAACAACCTGGACTAGGACTACCTGGACTTTAACAACCTGGACTAGGGCTATCTATACTAGAACAACCTGGACTAGAGCTACCTAGACTAGAACCATCTGGACTAGGACTACCTGGACTTAAGCTACCTAGATAAGGACAACCTTGACTAGAACTATTTTAGAAACAGGACATGAACAACATAAATCAGAACCAAGTCCTTCCTGTTTAACTGCTCACACACTCGATCCACCAGAATCCATCCATCCTGACCAGATTAGTTTACAGAGCCCCCACCCCCCACCCCTACAGTCCTGCTGCTAAAACCAAATCCTAAATCAAATGAGTTGGACTTCCTGTGTGGGATTAGTGTCCGTGTTGTGAGGAACCAACCAATCGGGGGACGTCTTTGAAGCTGAATCTGGTTGGAGACCTTGAGTCTTGCTGACATTTCCTCCTCAGTGTGTTAGGGATGGGAGGTGGGGCAGGTGGAAATCACACCTCAGTGCTAAATGAAGCCGAAAGCTTTAATTATCAGAACAACACAAAGGGTGACGGACATCGGCCACAGTTCACAGCTCTCGTGTTTCGCGGCTGCACTCAAGGAGGGGTCTGGGAAATGTGTCCAGGTGTCAGAGGAGACAAAACAGCACGCGGGAAGCCCACAATCAGCAGAACACTCACTGTGGTCTTCAAAGGGCGCCGGCTGGTCCTCTGCTCCACATCTACCCCTGACTGGGGCTTTAAGGGGAAATCCAGCCTAAGACACTTGGATAGCTTTACGGCGGCTTTGTTCAACCTCACTGCTTCTAGACTTAACTTTATATGATTGCTTTGGTCATTATTAGATGTTTCTGTGTAAAAGACAGACGTAGTTACCATCTTATCTGCTGTAGATAGCTTCCAGGACAGCCTCTGTCTGGACAGGTATCTTACATCCTCTAAGACTGATGAGCTAACAGCTAGTGCAGTGTTGCAGTCATTTAGAGAAACAAAAAATCTCTAGTCCTCAACAGGTATTTTGACATGATTTTATGAACCTTTAGTCGACAGTTTCAAACTCCTGTAGGATTTCAATGCTGAACTCACCTGAGGCGCTTCTTATAGCTGCTGGTGAAATTTAGGTAATATAAACCAAGGAGATAAGATGATCCACAGAGATTACCAGATTATCCAAAGTGAGAACTAAATAATCCACGAAAATTACCAGATGATCCACAGAGATTACCAGATTATTCAAAGAGAGAACTAAATAATCCACGAAGATTACCAGATGATCCAAAGAGATTACCAGATTATCCAAAGAGAGAACTAAATAATCCAAGAAGATTACCGATAATCCATGGAGCTAAAATGATCCATGGAGATTACCAGATGATTTGTGAGGATAACAAGATGATCCACGGAAATAACCAGATGATCAACAGACACTACTAGAATGTCCATGGAGCTAACAGTTTATTGGACACAGCAGCAACTTGCTGCCCTCAGGCTGTTTGCGTTTGAAAGGTTCTTTTATCCTGAGCAACTAGCCGTTAGCACATCAGTCTTGTAGGTTCAGATGTTTATAACTTTTCCAAGGAAATGCTCCGGAATGGCCTGAAAGTCCCTTTAAAACAAACATCAGGGTTTAAGGTTGACCCGTAGGAGGTAGGAATCCAGCCTTATTGCAGCCTGAACTGCGTCAGATCAACGAGAGGAACAGGAAGTCCCCTCTCCTCCATCATAATCATTTTTAACGTGTAAGATTAATTACATACGGATTAATTAATTACATACATCACGGAAGGTCCTCTAATTTGTGAGCCTTCTGTGATGCTACAAACGAGAGGATAATATTTATGTTGATTCCTGAGGAAATCTCCAGCTTTGGAGACTCCAGTCAGTGAGGGGTTAATAAAGACTTCCCGTCTGAATCATTCTTTTGACATTTCCAGAACAATTTCAACCCTCCTGTTGTGAAAGCTTTCAGCTGCTTCTGCCTGCTTTTACCTGAGATTTAAGGCTTTAAACCCACCTGAGCTCTTCCTTTAGACTTCATCCACCATAGCTTGTACACAGTAACCACGTCAGGAGGTGATTATTCAAACTCCGTATCATTTTTGCTGCTAATCTTCGTTTAGCTACCGAGTGTGCAGCAGCAGCTGTGAGACCTCCACCCTAAATGTGAAGAACCACCCATGAACCTCAGCAGGAAGGATGGACCTCCTTGGTTCAGGAAGTCATCAAAGCTCCTGAGATCATTTCATGAAACCTTTTATCTCCTTATATCTCCCTCCCATCTGGCAGAAGGCTCAGATCCATTCGGACCAGAACCTCTCGCCACAAAAACAGTTTCTCTGCAGTTGGACTTTTGAATGAAAATCCTAGGGCAGCCCACTCAAGTTGATTGGTCCCAGCCACGTGACCCGATGCTGTGCTTGAAACATTCAGAAAACACTCAGATTAGTACCTACACGGGGTAGATAGCTGCTTCTCTAATTCCTGCCACTTTTTACATTAATAATTTTATCATGAGTTATTAGTTCTTATATTGCTTATCTCTTAATTTTTTTTTTCTTTCTTACCTTCTGCACCAAAATACCGCAGCAATTTCCTAATGTTGTGCCTTGGCACATATATGGCAATAAAAACTTCTGATTCTGAAGCACGGAGCCGGGGTTGGTTTATGCTTGACACGTCCGCGAGGTCCGCAAGGCGAAATTGCCTCATTTTAACAACCACGCCCCTCCACCGCGTCTCTGCACGGCCCAAAATTTCCGCAACGCGCACCTAGGAAATTTTGGACGGCCGGAAACGGAAAAACATGGTGGACCGGCAAGAACTAGTATGGCAGAGGTTCGTAAATACAGACATTTGTATGATTCAGCTCTCAGATATCACCGTGATCAACATGTTGTTAATAATTCTTGAAGAGAAATAGCTCGCACTGTTGGAAAAGACGAGGACGCTGTTAAGCTTGGTTTATGCTTGACGTATTCACTTTCCGCGCGGTGATGCAGCTCGTGGATGGAACGCGCTTCACAACTCGCAGCGTTTATGGTACGTGCGGCTCGTCTCTGCGGTGAGCCAATATTCTCCCAAACTGAACGGGGCAGCATCGAGCTCTACGGCATGCATCCAACACTACACCATAGTAGAAGTAAAAATGACTGTTTACAACATGACATTCCAACATTTTTTAACAGCGTTCTCATCTTTTCCGACAGTGCGAGCTATTTCTCTTCAAGAATTATTAACATGTTGATCCCGGTCATGGACGTAATTTGGGGGGGGGGGGGGGGGGGGGGGGGGCATGTCCCCCCCACTTTTTCCAAAGTCAAGTTTTGACCGCTGCACGTTTTACCACCCAAAAACAATTTTACGGTATATTAAATTGACACTGGTTGAGCTCTAGGACCAAGCGGAAAACAATTGTTTGTGTTGAAGCCTGCTTCCCACTAGAACATACTGTAAAGACCCCCGTGCCCCCCCCCCTTCTAAAGTGAAAATTACGTCCATGATCCCGGTGATCTCTGAGAGCTGAATCCTACAAACGAACCTCTGCCATACTAGTTCTTGCCGGTCCGCCATGTTTTTCCGCGTCCGTCCGTCCGCGTGGTTAGAAATTTTCCGAGGTGCGCGTTGCGGAAATTCTGGGCCGTGCGGAGGCGCGTGGTTGTTAAAATGACGCAACTTTTCCGCGCGGAGCCGTGCAGACGCGTCAAGCATAAACCAACCTTAAAAAATGCTGAAATGCCATGTTGTAAACAGTAATTTTTACTTCTACTATGGTGTAGTGTTGGCTGCATGCCGTAGAGCTCCATGCTGCCCCGTTCAGTTTGGGAGAATATTGGCTCACCGCAGAGACAAGCCGCATGAACCATAAACGTTGAGAGTTGTGAAGCGCGTTCCATCCGTGAGCCGCATCACCGCGCAGAAAGTGAATGCGTCAAGCATAAACCAAGCTGAGATGGAGTGGTCCAAGAAGGTCGGTTCGGTAAAGGTCAAGGATTTATGGTGGACTCTTGAGAGATGAGCACAGGAAAACGATTCTTTGAGAAGATAAAATCAGAACAGAACTGGTTTGTGATTTTTAGACAAAGGTTTGAATATTTTATTTCCTTACTGAACAAAACTGACTCTTCACTCTGAAACACAGCATAAATGCTAGGATCCAAATCACAGCTTGGTCCCGGTTCATTCTGCTCCTCAGTTTGGTTCCTCTGAGCGGGTGAAAACACAGGAACCTCTCAGAGACTCACTGGAGAAGGAAAGTGATCCAGCCTGGATCGGACCACGTGTAGCCTACAGGGCTAGTCTGAGCCAAACACCCTCCTGTAGCAGGTTGGTGTTGCAGGAGGACACAAACAGCAGCTACTGGGAGCGTAACAATACACCGTAACAATACACCGTAACAATACATCGGTTACATGGTCATTGACCCAAAATGCAAAAATCGATAATATCTTTATCAAACACACTTTTATTTTGAAAATTGCTTTATTGGGACGTTCCGCTGACATTTAGTTTTCCAGCTGGTCCTGCTCATCATCAAACATGTTAAAGGAAGAAGCTATCAGCATCTCTCCTCTGGGAAATCACTTTGATTTTTTTATATTGATCAGTGGATCTTACATCAGATCAAACCTAAATGAGTCTGATTGAATTAGAGATATGGGCAAACATCAACAAGCTGGTGTTTGGGCCGGTAACCAGATTTATCAGCTGTGAGTCTGGAAAACACTCAAGAGTTCAGATAGTTGATAATTCAGGAGGGACTGACTCAGACCAGAGTAACCGAGCAGGAGTGGAAACAATCTAAAAACAGGATCCCTGGCCTTCTACTGCTGGAGACACAAGAGGAAATTTAAAAGATGCAAATTATCTGTTGAAATCAAACTGAATTTAAGACGTTCGAGAGAAGTGGGACTAAATTACAAACTGCAACAGCTTTATTTACACTGGCCAAAAAAAGTCTCCACTAACAAAGGTTCAAACTCATTGGACCACCTTTAGCTCTGATGACAGCATGCATTCACTACACAAAGCCTTCTCCAACATCCCAAAGATTCTCAGTGAGGTTAAGGTCTGGACTCTGTGGTGGCCCATCCACGTGTGAAAATGATGTCTCATGCTCCCTGAACCAGTCTCTCACCATCTGAGCCCGATGAATCCTGGCATTGTCAACTTGGAATATGGCCGTGCCATCAGGGAAGATCCAATCCAATTTATTTATATAGCGCATTTAAAAACAGCATGTCAGCTGACCAAAGCACTGAAGATCCAGGAAGATGGAATAACCTGGTCATACAGGATATTCAGGTAGTCGGCTGACCTCATTCTTGGAGCACATCCTGTTGCTGAACCTAGACCTAACCACCAGCAGCAAGCCCAGATCATAGCACTGCCCCCACAGGCTTGTACAATAGGCACTAGGCATGATGGGTGCATCACTTCATCTGCCTCTCTTCTGACCCTGATGCACCATCACTCTGGACCAGGGTCCATCTGGACTCATCAGACCAGTTTTAATAATGCGTTGGACAGTTCTGAACCCAGTTTCTGCACCTCCTTTGATGTTTTCTCTGCTTGATGCCAATGATCGGACCCTTATCACACACACTAACATCTTTTCCACCACCAGATGTGTCTTTCCACACGGCTGTTTGGGAAATGAGAAGCAGCTTATGGCACCAGTTGGGTTAAATAAGTTGTTGCAGTAGGAGACTCTTAGCTGTTTGTGTAGTTAAATCCAGGTGGAGCCTTTTTTTGGCCAGGCGGTGTATTTGGTATCCATCTCCTCCCTAAGTTGTCCCACAAGTGTTTACTTAACAGGAAGCAGAACCTAACAAGAACTCAGCAGAGCAGAACCCATCTCTGAAAGAGCGGCCAGTGACTCAGAGCAGCCGTGAAAACCCCGGCCTGTGATTGGCCTTTTGGGAGCCACAAGGCCGGCTCTGGTCTGAACAGAAACATTCAGACTCATTTTGATTTGGGCAAAGCTCAAGGTTTCAAACTCACGACCCTGTTTATCACAGAGCAAACGAATCATTGGGCTCTTGTAAAAATAGCTGGATGAGCCTTGAAAGGTGGTGTGTGCTCGGTAACACCACACACACACACACACACACACACACACACACACACACACACACACACACACACACACACACACACACACACACACACACACACACACACACACACACACACACACACACACACACACACACACACACACACACACAGAAAAGCTGTTCTGATTTTTCCATTTTTCTAACAAGGAAAGCACTTTCAGACTAATTTACCCATCAGAGGAATCAAATCAACACATTTGAACGGAAAGATTCCAGATTTGATCTTCTGTCTCTGTGATCCAGTGTGGAAGCAGCACGGTGGTGCAGAGGAGCAAAACCAGCACCAGGACACCAACTATCGGCTGGGCTCGGTGCCCTTTCTCCAGAGGAACCATCAGCTGATCAGGGTTTGTGTTGGGACTGGAGGGCATCTCTCCGTCTTAGCAGGATCTTCTGTAGCTCATCATCATCATCACCACCACCGCGGGACAGAGACACCTGCTTAGGCTGAGGGCGGCTTCTGTTGAAGTTCTCCTAGACAGGTGGACGGAGACGGGGACAGGTGTGGACAGCCTGTTTACAAACAGCTGAACTGCTTGTTTCTTAGAGAAAAGTCAAAGTTTGCAGGTTTTGGCTGACTGTTTGACTTTAATAATCTTGGATAAAAACCTTTTTCCAGCAGAAATAAATGTTTCTGACAGGAAACAGAGAAAGTTGGAGAAGTGAAGCAGGGTTCGTTCGTGAGTCCCATTACCATGATGCCTTTAAGTTCTTGAAAGGCGGAATTAGAGGGCAGCCTCTCCATCTGATGAGGAAAATAGGAGGAGAAAATGGCTTTGGTAAATAAACAGCAGTCTGACACATTATACTTATTTTTCCTCATTTAGCACTTAAACAGATGAACTGCATGTCTCACCGCAAATCCTAGTCCAGCATGGTACGTATGCTTTCCACAAGAAGCAAATGTGTTAACACACAATCATTTTGAGTCATGACAATTTTTCCATCCTCATTATTTATAATTACTTTGCAGAGCAGGCTCTAATGCTAGCTAATTTGGCGGAGTTGTTAAGGCGGAGGAACAAGCAGACTAAAAGATGTCTTGACCACATGTCATGTTTTATCAAAACAAGAAGCTCTTAGATAATCCAGAACACTGATGGATTTAAGAGCACTGAACAATATATGTACAAAACAACACCCTCAGGCCTCAGAACGCTGCCGCTTCTTTACTCCAGCAGCTGAAAACACATTTCTGACACAATCACACACATCAATTATCCTTTACAGCTGCGGTGCAGCGTTGGGCGTCTGCCTGCAGCAGACTTATTCTGTTTTCTGCTGGTTTTCATCAAACTTTCTGTTTGTGGAACAAAGAACTTCTGCTGCTTAAAGTAAATAAATCAATAAAAAATACATCTAAAGACTTAAAGGACACACACTGAGCTCACAAAGACCCGAAGAGAGGTTTGTTTCTACATGAAGATCCACTGGCTTTACCTGTGAGGAGAGCCGGTACCATCACTCAGGATCCGGGCCTGAATCTGACTCAGATTCAGGATCTGGGTTCAGGTCTAATCCTGGATCAGGTTACTTACAGATTCAATAAACCCAGCAGGCTTTCCCATAAACTGGATTCAGTTCAGCTGTTACAGGTGGAAATTCACCTTGACTGGCAGGTAAATCAAATCATCTGGAAAGAATAAAAGTCTGGAAAAACTCACTTTACCTCAAAAACCATTGGGAGCATTTTCAGACTAGAGTTTTGTTCCAACAACAGAAACATTTTGTAACTGAGTCTAATCTCTGTTTCTCTGTGCTGAGGTTGTTCAGGTAAGATATTTGTTCAAATCTTTTTTACTTTCGTGCCTTTTTATGAGTTTCCAGTCTCAGAGATAATTTACGGAGGTAAACACAACAAAACGACTCAAGCAACAAGCAGGTTCCAGCCGGTTTTCCTGTTTTATTTCTCCACCTGGAGCTGGAGCTAAACGTGGTTTTAAAACAAAAAACCAGCACATCTGGATTAAACTGGTGTTACCTTCCTCCTGCTTCTGGTTGGCGATTGGCCGACGGGTCGAAGTTGAACTCCTTTCTTTATCCTTTGCATCATTTCATCCACAGCCAGCTGCCGGATGTCCACCTCTAACGGGAACACACAACAAGCAGCTGGAGTCAGAAAGGTCCACTCTACAGGAACACTGGTCTGATTATTATGGTCTGTCTTCACTTCTCCTAAGCTTCCCATCCTTATAAATTTTTATATGTTAATTCACTCAGAAATACAAAGTTTTTTATTTTTGAATCCATAAAGCCTGAAACGTCCAGAGTTCATCTTTTAAAGAGGCTACAGGTACAGATTTACACCAGCAGGTGGCACAAACATGAGAATCGGTGTAGATGTTTAAAGGTGTGGGACACTCGTTTAATCAATAGTCTGCAGTGATCTCTAGTAGGGATGAACACCTTAGAAGTCGTGTCCTGGGGGAAAACGCTCTGGCGCTCCTGTTTTAGGAAGTAAAAGTGAGCGCTGAGCTTCAGACGACCGGTGTCGGTACAGGATCTGCTCGGGTGCAAGATCGGCTCGGGGTCCTTCGACTGCCGATGACATCAAAGTACGGCAAACCCACTCGGACAAAATACACTACACATCTATACTGTTGGAAAGAATTTAGCAGTTTCGTTGTTAAAATAATGTTTCTCAAGACGTAAGTTTGTGTTGATAATGGTATTTGTGAAATAAAACACTATGTTGTATTCATAATGTTGAACTCCTCTTTGAGCACATCCCTTGAAGGATCATATGGTATTAGCAACACCTGTGAAATTGTATTTGCAGGAAAGAAGTGTGTCCTGTTTATTGAAGTATTTTGTGTTTAGAGTTTTTGACGTCTTGTCCATGCGTAGTTCAGTTACGCTCATAGCTGCTAGCCAAAACTCTGGAGTTAAAAGTTTTCTGGCTTTACTAAAATACCTGTCTGTACTTATTTGATTGATGGTAGTTTTACTTTCCATTAGACTCCAAATGTAATCATTTGGCACATTTTTAATTCATAATTTGTAAGAATGTAATCAGTGATATTAGCATTAGCATTCCTATGGGTTTTTCCACGTATATTAGCATTGCGCTAACCACTCGCTGCCAAATTGCAGCCTTTGCGATTAGAAAATCTCCTTTTGTCACATCGCAATTTAATTGCACACGCAGTTAATCGTTCAGCCCTAATATACATGCAGCTCTATGCTAAAAGTGTATTTTCAAAGTGGTAATGATGGATTTCTTTGTAAAAGTTGTCCATCTTTCCAACAGAAAGATTTGCCTGGACCAACGTAACGTGATAACAACGTAACATGTTTACGTAATTCCGTATGACTCATGTTCAGCCAATCAACTACTTTGACGTCATTGGCAGTCGACGGACCCTGAGCCGATCTTGCACCTGAGCAGATCTTGTACCGACACCGGATCTGGAGTCTTTTGGGCCATTCCCATCTGTACCGGGTCGGCCCGGGCCGGGTAGCCCCAGTCGGCCCCAGCCTGGCTCGGTTGATTCCACACATCCTTGTCTTAAGACCATGTGGGCTGATTCTACCCACCAATCAGAGGCTTGCTCTAATAGAAGGTGTGAATTTGCTGTCAGCAGTGGGTGTGTTGGCCCTGGTCGGCCTGAAGCAGACCCCCTCGAGAAGAGGGCTGAGAATGAGCCTTGGTTGTCCCGGAAAAATACCAGGCCACCCAGATATGTAAACAACCTGCGCTACCCGGCCCGGGCCGACCCGGTACAGATGGGAATGGCCCATTACTTCCTGATATCTGGACATATCTCCTCTGATTGGTTAACAGCAACACGACTGTACCACTGACTCCATTTGCTCTGCAACGTTGATGTTTTATCTCCACAAAAAACACAAGCCTGGAGGAGTTCTGCTGTGTGGTGGAGTTGCTAATGCTAACGGTTAGCTTCTACTAGCAGAGACGTTCTCTGCTGTTTCCTGGATGCTAAACCAACAACAGCTTCCCAGTCATGAGTCCAGATGGGTGAGTCCATGAATGTTAGTGACAGTGTGACGTAGCTCTGTCAGGCTTTTCTAATTCTAGAGTTTCACCGTCTGTTTTCTATCGGAAGCTACTGCAGGAGGTAGGTGTAGGAGACTATTTTCATGTTCAGCCTGCATGAGAAGCTCAGAGTGACCTGTTAGAATCAGAAATAATAATTGAAACAGGGGTTTTCAGTGAAGTTGACCTTTAAATAAATAAATCAGCACTGCTATATAAACAGGGAACAGCTGCTACGGGAGCCTGGAGGGCCAAACAGGAATTCGCCTCAGACAAAGAGGCACACTGATCAAACAGAAAAAACAAGTTTGTAAAGCAGAATGTGACAAAAGGATTTTATTATTAATAACTGTTAAGATGTTAAAAGTGATGTTTAATTTGCTTCATTTGATGAGCAACTTGTTGGACTAAAGCAGACCTCAGTCAACGCACGGTCTAAAAGCAGTCCGTGCACAATGGATATAATCCAGATTATTGTCATGGTTTCATAAGAGTTACTAAGGCTGCAAGGTTTTCTGTGTGTGTAAAGGCTCCGACCGTTCGGCTGTTTGTCATACAAAAGTTTTCCAAGGAGAGGTTCAAAGTGAGGAGAACAAAACATGTAATTCTGCAATAATGCTGCCCATTCACAAAGCAACGCGAATATTTAATTTCCTCACATAGAACATTCAATGACACATACAACAGAACGCTTTGTCATAGAAATGTCTTTAAAAAAACGTTTTGTTCAGAAGTAATAGCAAAATATTTCCCTTTAGTGCTTAAAAAGAATCTATTATTCAGGTGTCAGAGTAGAAGATCCTTGGGTGGTACCATTCATCCCTGGATGGAATTTCAACTAACGCTGTGAGCCTGGTGCCCAATTCAGGACTCGCTTATTCAATAACTGTTTAACATCAGAACCTGTTCAGTCAGCACGGACATCAAACCGCTCCCACGGGTCAAGGCTGGAATCTGCCGGCACAAATTAGAGAATTTAACATCTGGGTCTGAAAGGCCAAAGATGCAGATTTCTGAGAACGATGGTCTCATAAAGCATTTATCGTACGTGAAAGAGATTAAAAGGAGACCAGAATTTAAACTAATCAAAGAAAATGGGTGAATAATTAGCATGAATGAAAGCTTTGATGGAATTAATTCAGTTATTACCGACAAATAAAAACATTAAAATAAAAGTTTGAGTCAAAAATAAAGGGACGATTCAGTTCCTGTTCGTACTTTTCTGGTTAATTATTATTAATTTCTGTGATTTTAATAAGTTGTTTGTGGCTCAAAGAAATGGGAACATTTCATTTTATTTATCTTGTTTGTAGTTTATGAAGTTTTTTTTATTTATGGTAAAACTGTAAAAAACGTTTGTGTGTGTGTGTGTGTGTGTGTGCATGTGTGTAGGTGTGTGCATGTTTGTGAGTGTGTGTGTCTGTGTGCACGTTTGTGTGTGTGTGTGTGTGTGTGTGCACGTTTGTTGAGTGTGTGTGTGAGTGAGTGAGTGAGTGTGTGTGTGTGTGTAGGTGTGTGTGTGTGTGTGTGTAGTTGTGTGCACGTTTGTGTGTGTGTGTGTGTGTGTGTGTGTGTGTGTGCACGTTTGTTGAGTGTGTGTGTGTGTGTGTGTAGGTGTGTGTGTGTGTGTGTGTGTAGTTGTGTGCACGTTTGTGTGTGTGTGTGTGTGTGTGTGTGTGTGTGTGTGTGTGTGTGTGCAGGTTTGTTAGGGCGTGTGCGAGTGAGTAAGACGTTCACCTGGAGGTTTGGTCGAGTCCGTTTCCAGCAGCTGGACGTCGTCGCTGACGTCCTTTTTCTTCCTGATGAGCGACAGCAGCGCGCTGCAGCAGGAGACAGAACAACATCTGGACTTCCTGTTCTGGTCATTTTATTTTTTTATAATGTTAATTTCAGCAAAGCTTTTTCTTTCAGATCCAAAGAAATGACGACACATCATGAGCGATGAGACGGTGATCAGAAATGAACCTGATATAAAATATATTTTTATATATATGTTTCCTCTGAATTCAGAGTCAGATATTTTCTCAGGTTTAATAAAAGTCACGAAACTAATCCTGCAGCTGCCGTTTTAAAGTTTTCAGAATCAAACTAATTTATCATCTTAGATCCTTAACCTCTATCCTCCAAACCAGGAAAACTAATAATAATGTTTAACTTTCATTCAGACATTAATTATAAATAAACTGCTTAGTTTTTATGAGCCATTTAAACAAAGAAACTAAACCAAGTAGTTCATCTGCTGGTTAACCAGCCACTAACCAGCTAGTTAGACGGTTCAAGTCCATCTGGACTCTAAAACCACCAGCAGGTCTAAGATGAACTGTTTCCTGTGAAGAAGGAGAGTTTATTAGATATTTCTCAGGAGAACGTAGAACCAGAAGGTCACTTCCGGTTTGGGTTTGTTCACTAAAAGAAGGAACATGAGCTGAAGGATGAGAACAGAACCAGCCTAAAGACCACACCATCTGGGTTTGAATGATGCTTCAACGCCACCAAGAGCCTCATAAGCTACGGGAGAAAGTTCAGACCTGAGAGGGTTGGAGGATGAAGGTGGAGGAGGTGGGGGAGGTGGAGGTGGTGGCGGAGGTGCAGGAGCAGGAGGTGGGTTAGCAACAGTCTGCAGCTTCTTCTGGAGTTCTTCCACTGTCCAGATAAACATGGAGCTTTAGAACAAACCAGCAGCAAACCGCAGGGATGGAAAAACGTTTTAGAGATTAGCTCAGCATGCTAGCAGATTATCTCATCAGGTTATCTCGTGTTTACAGATTTAATCATTAGACATCTGAATAATTCAACGACTGATTCAGGTTATCATGTTAGCTTTGACTCAGTCATGTTTTCATCACTGATTACGTAAAAACCAAACATCAGTTTAACTGTCATCATAGCACAACTTGAACAAGTGACCCATTCAGAATCACTCAATTTAAAATGTCTGTTGTCTCCTTCTCTCCGTGTCCCGAGTGAAGAGATTCCAGCTCGTTTGGACAAAGGAATGTCATCCTAAGTCCAAGGAAGCAGAAGCTGCTGGAGTCTGGGGTCCAGTCCAGGAACCACCAAACCTGGAGATGATGGATGGATGAATGGATGGGTGGGTGGAAGATGGATGAGTGGGTGAATGGATGGTGGATGGATGAATGGATGGATGGATGAGTGGGTAGGTGGATGGATGATGGATGAATGGGGATGGATGAATGGATGAGTGGGTGAATGAATGGATGGATGGGTGGGTGGAAGGTGGATGGATGAATGAGGGATGGATGGATGAGTGGGTGAATGAATAATGGATGAGTGGGAGGAGTGGGTGGATGGATGAATGAGAGATGGATGGATGGGTGGGTGGATGATGGATGGATGAATGAGGAATGGATGGATGAATGAATGGATGAGTGGGTGAATGGATGGATGGATGGGTGGGTGGAAGATGGATGAGTGGGTGAATGGATCGTGGATGGATGAATGGATGGGTGGAAGGATGGATGGATGGATGGATGAGTGGGTAGGTGGATGGATGATGGATGAATGGATGGGTGGAAGGATGGATGGATGGATGGATGGATGAGTGGATAGGTGGATGGATGATGGATGAATGGGGATGGATGAATAGATGAGTGGGTGAATGAATGGATGGATGGGTGGGTGGGTGGAAGGTGGATGGATGAATGAGGGATGGATGGATGAGTGGGTGAATGAATAATGGATGAGTGGGAGGAGTGGGTGGATGGATGAATGAGGGATGGATGGATGGATGGGTAGGTGGATGATGGATGGATGAATGAGGAATGGATGGATGAATGAATGGATGAGTGGGTGAATGGATGGATGGATGGGTGGGTGGATGATGGAAGGATGAGTGGGTGGGTGGATGGATGGAGGATGGACGAGTGGGTGGATGGATGATGGATAGATGATGGATGGATGGGTGGGTGGATGATGGAAGGATGAGTGGGTGGGTGGATGGATGGATGATGGACGAGTGGGTGGATGGATGATGGATAGATGATGGATGGATGGGTGGGTGGATGATGGAAGGATGAATGGGTGGATGGATGGATGATGGATGAGTGGGTGGATGGATGATGGATAGATGATGGATGGATGGGTGGGTGGATGATGGAAGGATGAATGGGTGGGTGGATGGATGGATGATGGATGAGTGGGTGGATGGATGATGGATAAATGATTTGGAATCAACTACTTTTAAGATGGCCGCCAGAGCTAATCAGTAATTAAATAGAAATGGATGACTGGTAGATGACCGTGCCCAACTCTACAGCACACTCCGTGTTCACTTGCCTCTTTTTTTCTTTCATTCATTCATTCATCCTCATCATCATCTTTATTATTATTATTCATGCTGCCTCACTGCCACTTAGGATTGACTGAATAGTGTTTGTTGTTAGCTTCGAGGGCGACCTGCTGGCTTGATTATCACCTGTAAGTCGCTCTGGACAAAAGCGTCTGCTAAAAAAATATACATAGTAGATTCCACAAGCATTGAGCTGTATGAAGTTCCTCTAAACCAGTGTTTCTCAGCCCTGGTCCCCAGCCCCCCCACCCAGTCCCTCATGTTTCCAACAGCATTGTTTCTACGCTGCCACACACCTGACTGGTGACAGGTGTGCTGTAGCAGAGACACGAACATGCAGGACAGAGGGCCACTGAGGACCAGGGTTCCTCACCTTCACTTGTTCAGTCCTCACCTGTAAAATGCAGATCTCTGACTTCCTGTTCAGCTTTGAAACATCTGATGGTGCTCTCTGTCCTCTCCTCCTCCAGAAGCTCCAGCTTACGCCTTAGTGTGGTTAGCTCCCTCTGAGCTTCGCAGCTCTGTAGTTTTTCTTCCATCTGCCTCCTCTGAGGATGGACCAGAAGATCAGCAGAACATCAGTTAGTACTGCTTAGCTTAGATGCTAACAACCCTGCTAAGTGTCTGCAGAGGAGATCTCCGGGCTGAGTCACTGATTGTTTAGTTACAAACGTCCTGATGGGGATTAAAAGCCGTAAATGTATCAAACGTTGTTTGGCTGCAGATCCACCACAAGCATGGTTCCTAGACCGCTCTGGGAAGCTGCCAGCTGACATTTACTCCACAATGGCCGCTCCTTTACAGGAGCTTTAATTATTGCTAAAGTGAAGGATATGGCTCACCTCCACCCAGCACTGAAGAGGTCAGCGATCCCACTCAGCTCTAATTGTTCTCCATGAGTGCCGGAGAAGGTGGGAGTGGGCCTCAAGCTATACTGCTGCTCTAAACAGGAATCTAGCTGGTGAGGCCTGCAAAACCGCCCGGATCAAAAACCGAATGCATAGACACGTCCATAGGGTGGATGGACGGTCCGTATCTCTGCTCAGAACCTGTCAGGCTAAAGAACCCAAAAGGAGGAAACCTGGTTCTGGTGCTGCAGCCTCTCAACCTCCAGGTCGTTGGTCAGACTGACCACCTGACTCAGAGCTTCCTGTAGAGCCAGACTGGACGAGCTGCTCTGCATCAGGATATCACTCTGCCTCTTCAGCTTCTTCTGCTCCACCAGCATCTGGAAGGACCACAGGGTGATAGATAAAAAAAAATCCCGTGGTGAAAGTCACAGGCAGTGCATGAAAAGAACCATCTAATAAAAACGTACGTTTCTGGCAAACGTTTCTGCCTCCGTCCTCAGGTTCTTCTCCAGGTGTAAGGTGTCCTGCAAAGCTTCGTACTCCTCCACAGCAAACTGAGAGACTGGTTCATACCAGGAGAGATCACCATGTTGAGTTTAAGATGTACATGTTGGTAAAACCTGGCAACAGCAATGCTCAACATCGGTGCTTTAACGGGGTTAAACCAGAACTTCTTGTTTCTGAGTGAAACAGACCGAGGTCCTTTTTTTCGGTGACAAGGCCTCTGATGATACTCTGAACTTTAACTTTGGGAACACTGTAAACAAAACTAGGTGTGAATTTGGACAAGAGTTTCAATTTTTGCAAACAAGTGGATTCAGTGGTCAAATCACCTTTGTCTTAACGAAGGTCACGATCGTCTTAACATCTTCGTCTTAATGAAGGTAAAGATCGTCTTAACATCTTCGTCTTAATGAAGGTAAAGATCGTCTTAACATCTTCGTCTTAATGAAGGTAAAGATCGTCTTAACGTCTTCGTCTTAATGAAGGTCAAGATTGTCTTAACGTCTTCGTCTTAATGAAGGTCACGATCGTCTTAACATCTTCGTCTTAACGAAGGTAAAGATCGTCTTAACGTCTTTGTCTTAATGAAGGTCACGATCGTCTTAACATCTTCGTCTTAACGAAGGTAAAGATCGTCTTAACGTCTTTGTCTTAATGATGGTCAAGATCGTCTTAATGTCTTCATCATAATGAAGGTTAAGATCGTCTTAACGTCTTCATCTTAACGAAGGTAAAGGTCGTCTTAACGTCTTTGTCTTAATGAAGGTCAAGATCGTCTTAATGTCTTCATCATAATGAAGGTCAAGATCGTCTTAATGTCTTCATCATAATGAAGGTCAAGATCGTCTTAACGTCTTCGTCTTAATGTAGGTCACGATCGTCTTAACATCTTCGTCTTAACGAAGGTAAAGATCGTCTTAACGTCTTTGTCTTAATGAAGGTCAAGATCGTCTTAATGTCTTCATCATAATGAAGGTTAAGATCGTCTTAACGTCTTCATCTTAACGAAGGTAAAGGTCGTCTTAACGTCTTCATCTTAACGAAGGTCAAGATCGTCTTAATGTCTTCATCATAATGAAGGTCAAGATCGTCTTAACGTCTTCATCTTAACGAAGGTAAAGGTCGTCTTAACGTCTTCATCTTAACGAAGGTCAAGATCGTCTTAATGTCTTCATCATAATGAAGGTCAAGATCGTCTTAACGTCTTCGTCTTAACGAAGGTTGAACCGTTTTTCTGCCAGACTGACCTCCAGAAGGCTGTGCATGGTTAACAGCTCCAGGGTCGACCACTGCGAGGCTCTGTACTTCGATGTCTCTCAGGCGGCCCTCAGCAGGCTGCAGCTGATCCAAAACACAGCCGCTCAAATTTTAACCCCCCGACGTGAGCGCATCACTCCGGTTTGGTCTGCCCTTCACTGGCTGCCTGTTGGTTTTCTAACAGCTTTTGAGCTCTTGTTTGTTTTTAATGCTCTTAATGGTTTGGCCCCATCCTACATCTCAGACTTGCTGAGTTTCAGAACTAGCAGTAGATTTGTGTGTTTTTACGTTTTCATTAGGTGTTGGTTTTTATGCAATCTGTTAAGAACTTTGGGTTGACTGTTTTAAAGGGCTATATAACCAATAAATGATGATGAATAAACTTTATTATTATTATTTGCTGTGATTGGTGAGAAACAGAGACTAAAACCTCTGAAAAAGCTACTTTGTGGATTTTTTTAAATATTTAGTTCTAAGCATCAAACTGAGCAACAAGCAGAAGGTTTAGAAGGAACTTGAACCAGATTCCCGCTGGTTGGGCCACCTACGACCTATGACCTAAGAGCCCTGCAGCTGCTGTAAGGAGCTCTTGTTCTGCATGAATCCAAACTGGAAACCAGTCCACCCAGTAGTGCATCACGTAGCTGAAGACAAGAGGGAACAAGCTCCACCAGGGGTCGGTTTAAAGTGTTTTTTTTTTTTTTTTTTGCTAGAAGAGTCACGCCACTCAAAGATTTTCTAAATAACAGTCAGGATAAAGGAAAATGCTGCTAAACTGATATTTGTGTTCCCTTCGTCTCCAGCTAGAGGTAGAACTGGTAGATTTACCAGAGTTGGCCTTTTATTAGACTCTTATTTTGTTAATCCCGTAATAACATAAGTGCTGTCAAGTTTGGAAGCTTTTAAAACGTTCTAATCTTTTAGACAACAGGTGCAAACAAAGGGAGGGGTGGTGTTCCTCATGGTCTACAGCTCGGCCCCCTCATCTGCCGAGGACAGCCGGTTCACACATCTTGATGTTGCTTTAGAAACATGTGGAACACGGCTGGAGTTATTGTGACTCTGGAGTTGCTGGGTGTCTATGCAGAAGAACCAATGCTGAGCAGAACTGGACCCAGACTGACCCACATGTAGCCGATTGGGTTTGTTTAGGCTGGTTTAAGCTACTAACTCCATTTCAGACTAAACACTTCATAATGATCAGGGCTCAGCAGAAGTTTGGTTAAATGATTCATTCCGTGACTCAGCAGGTATGTTCAGGCAGGTAAAACCCAGGAGCTGCTATCACGTTTCATGTTGCTATAAAGTTTGTGATCAAATAAACTTTCTAAACACTTTTATTTCTGCTTCTCATGCATTTACTCCATTTATTTGCCTCAAAGACCTTGGAGGTGCCGGAGTGAGCTCCACACCAGCTGCTGAGTAACCTTCACATTTTAATTTCTCCTGAGAATAAAGACGTTTATCGGGACAACGTGAGAAAAGCGACCCGTGTTCGGGACTTTGTTACATCTGAATGAAACTAAAGGTCACCCGCGTCATTCATCAAGTCATTAACGTTACGCAGAAATGCGTTTTTCTTCTCTTTCCACACAACATAACTAGTAATATATGATTTTTCTAAAGTCAAACATAAATTATGGATGCCTCTAACCTCTGGTGTATTTCTCCAGGAGCTTCTTTTGTTGGACTTTCTCAGAGATTAAAACTGTGTTGTCGTGTTTTTCTTTCATCAGCTGCAAAAAGAAACACATTAAAAGCAAAAATAGATGAAAAATAACGTCTTTGTTTCATTTCTGCACAAAAGAGTTTAAACAGGAACATAAAGTATAAAACTGGGAAAATAGAACGAGCCACGAAGACTTCAGGATTCTACTGAAGTCTAGGGTTTAGCCGGAGAAGGTTTAGGGTAGAAAACCTTCTAAGACTTTATTTGTGTTTTTATTTTAGACCTCAGACATAAAAACAAGCCTTCAAATTAAAACCTTTCCTGATGTTTCAAGCTTCTGTGGTGAAACTGTTCTTAATTCAGCTTTAATGGATTCATGTTATAATCATTTATAATAAACCACACGGTTAAACTTACTTCCTCCTTGGTTTCCTTCAGTTCTTGTTTTACCGACTCAAACTCACAGATTAGTTCATTTTTCTCCTTTTCGGTCTTTTCCAACTTGTTTTGTAGCTCTGAAACAAAAAAATCAAAGTTTGATTTAGTGGCTTTTTAACATGAATAAAATTAATATAATGGTATTAAAAGGTAACGTTGTTGTTGCTGTTGTTGTTATAATAATAATAATAATAATAATAATAATAATAATAATAATAATAAGGGCTGTCAAGCGACTGAAAATGTTTAATTATAATAAATGCAAATTAGAATATAAATGTACTGTTACCTGATATTTATTATTTTTCTGAAGCTCTCTTCAGCTCAGTACACAAATGTTAGTGTAGTTCTTTATTATTATTATTACTATTATTATTATTATTATTATTATTACTACTACTACTACTACTATTAGAGCAATAACAACACTAATGGTGGTTTGGCCTATGTCTGTTTTGTTTATTTAATTACTTAATATTCAGGCACATTTGCTTTTTATTACTGCCCATTTAATTTTTCATTTGTTGTCTTATTGTTTAGTGTTGTTCAAAAACAATAAAGAAATAAAAATGTCTTGAATATAAAGCAATACATAAAATTATACATACATATTGTATTAAATCAATGAAACTAGCTGAAAATTTAAATAAATAAATAGTGACTTTATATTAATTATTTATATATTTATTTATTATAGTATGTACACACAGAATGTGTGTGTTCAAGGCCAAGCTTAGAAAATAAATAAAAATGTGTTAACATGTGAGAACACGTTAGCTTCGTCAGCCCTAATCATCATATTCACACAATACTGTTTGTTACGGTTTAGGGGAGGAGTTAAACATTTTCATTATCGGCTTCATTAAAAAAACATCACATTTCATCCGTTCATTTCTCTAGTTTTTCTACAGGAAGCCGATTCTGTTCTAACTCGTAGGTTTTTATTGGGATCATGTGACCGGGAGACCAGGATGTTGGAGCAAAATCCCACAGCCAGGCGGAATGATTCAGATCAGCTGTTGGTGAATCGAAGATCTCCTGCTGGAGTTTGTCTGGAATAAAAACAGTTTTACTGATGGGTGAAATAATCACTAAATGATAAATAAATATCTTTTTAAACCCCATCCCTGATAAATAATCTATAATAAATAATAAACCTTGAACTTGAGACGTTTTATTTGGCTGCAGCAGTTCCCAGCAGCTAAAGCTAACCTGCAGATGTTGTCTCTGATGAATATTTAGAATAAAAGTTCTTTCTTTCCTGGAGACTCTCGTTCTCTCATTCATTAACATGTAAATATTAATGTAAACATAAAGAGCCAGCTTATTTTTGTATTCACTCGTCTTCTTCGTTTACTGAAGACATGATTTTCCACAGCACCATTAGACATCATCATAATAATAATCATAAGAGCATCATGGAGTCTGGAGCCATTATCACCTGAGGGAGAATTATGGCCGACTTGAGGACCTGAACATGACTTCTCCTTCAGGTGGTTCAAGTGGAGCAAAATGATTCAACCACAACCGACCTGTGAGCACTAAAATTGCTTCCTGGAACAGGAGTCACCGCTTGGCATTAGTATGATAAATAACCTCAATCTAATCTAATAAATACATCAGAGTGAGTCTGTCCTGAGCTCCAGAACACGCTCATCTGCACCTGAGATCAAGGTGTTGCAGAGGGAGGAAACACAAGCTCTGGAAGACTGGAAGTCTTCAGCCTCCTCTTCATCATCTGCCAGGCTGATCTGTGTGATGGTCTCTGGGCTGAGGTGGGACATCATCATCATGCTCTTCCTCTTCAGAGAGCGGTTCTGACGCTTCAGCTACAGCAAGAGCAGAGGGACAGTCAGAAGGTCACGAAGCGTTCAAACATTTAAGCCTGTTGAACGTAACTCAACTAAAACCCAGAAGGGTTAAGAACGTAGGACACGTTTTACAACTTTTATCCGAAATGAGCTGCTGGAGAAACTTTAATCCTAAAGCTGGTTTCAGTCTGATTAAGTAACTTAAGTAACTGATTAAGTCCAGGCCCCGCCCACTCATCCACACATTCATACAGCTGATCTGACTCAGCTTCCATTTTAGTTTGTTCACATTTAGTTTAAAAACCCTCCAGAGAAACACTTCGAGTACCTAATCAATATTATTATTACTATTATTATTATCATTATTATTATTATTATTATTATTATTATTATAATCATCATCATCATCATCATCATCATTATATTATCATCATCATCATTATCATCATTATTATTATTATTAGTACTATTAATCATCATCATCATTATTATTATCATTATCATCATCATTACTATTATCATCATCATCATTATCATCATTATTATTACTATCATCATTATATCATCATTATCATTATTATCATCATCATTATTATCATCTTCATCATTATTATTATTATCATCATAATCTTCATCATTATTATTATTATTTTCATCATCATCTCCATTATTATCATCTTCATCATTAGTATTATTATCATCATAATCTTCATCATTATTATTATTATTTTCATCATCATCATCATTATTATCATTATTATTATCATCATTATATCATCTTCATCATTATTATTATTATCATCATAATCTTCATCATTATTATTATTATTTTCATCATCATCTCCATTATTATCATCTTCATCATTAGTATTATTATCATCATAATCTTCATCATTATTATTATTATTTTCATCATCATCATCATTATCATCATTATTATTACTATCATCATTATATCATCATTATCATTATTATCATCTTCATCATTATTATTATTATCATCATAATCTTCATCATTATTATTATTATTTTCATCATCATCTCCATTATTATCATCTTCATCATTAGTATTATTATCATCATAATCTTCATCATTATTATTATTATTTTCATCATCATCATCATCATCATTATTATCATTATTATTATCATCATTATATCATCATCATCATTATTATCATTATTATTATCATCATCATTATTATTATCATCATTATCATCATCATTACTATTATCATCATCATCATTATTATCATCATTATTATTATTATCATCATTATATCATCATTATCATTATTATTATTATCATCATAATCTTCATCATTATTATTATTATTTTCATCATCATCTTCATCATTATTATTATTATCACCATTATGTCATCATCATCATCATCATCATTATTATTATTATTATTATTATTATTATTATTACTATTAATCATCATCATCATTATTATTATCACTATTATTATCAGAGATGCACCGAGCTGCCGCTGAGGGGAGGGGACCATACCGATAGTCGGAACCAGCTCCACCAACATCTTATATTTCAACCCATTTTCAAAAATGCAGCATTATGTTAAATGCACTGGGTTTTACCCAAACCCCCATAATACTGGTATGAAAACGAAGCAAACAAGGAAGTGACAAAAACTGCAGTTCCACCCTCATCCACTAGGGGCTGGTGTCAGAAGAGAGCAAATCCTCATTGACTCCCATGTTAAAAATACCAATTTCACAGCAAAAATAAACATGTTTACAGCCTGGTTCCAAAACATGTTTTAGGTTTAATTGATCTAGTTTACACTCATGATAACTCTGAGGGGGGGGGGATTTTATGTCACTCTTCTGTTAGCTTAGCTCCCACCTCTGCGTTAGCTTTAGGTTAGCTTGTAGCTACATTGCTTCAGTTCGACTGGTGTCGTCATTTGATCCCAGCCTTACAGCCCCACCCTCAGCTCCATCTCTTTTCCCTTTTGTGGAATTGTCTGGGGCTAGACGGAACCTGTGACAGGGTCAAAATGGGGGTGGTGGCCACCTCCCATTTTGGCTCAAAAACATATAATTGGAGCCTATGGACATGCATTGTCCAGTACATATGTTGATGGTGTTACCCTATTAAATTTCTATTTCATGGCTAAACAGTACATGTTAAAATCTAAGCTCAGCTCGGCAGTGACCTAAAATACATACATCTAATTTTACTTACCGAAAAAATTAAGTGGAGACACATTCAACCCCCCCCCCCCCCCAACCCCCCCCCCCCCCCCCCCCCCCCCCCCCCCCCAGAGTTGTCATGAGTGTAAACTAGATCATTTAAACAAAAAACATGTTTTGGTACCAGGCTGTAAACATGTTTATTTCTGCTGTGAAATTGGTATTTTTAACATGGGAGTCAATGAGGATTTGCTCGCTCCTGACACCAGCCCCTAGTGGATGAGGGTGGAACTGCAATTTATTTCACTTCCTTGTTTGGCTTCATTTCCAGACCAGAATTATGGGGGCTTGCTGGTACCCCGTACTCCCAGAGTACCCCCCACAGGGCATGTGGATGTTGGTTGGGTGAACCCCTACCCACCCTCCAGGACCCTCCAAAGGGACTAGAGCTGGTCCAGTGTGGTAGTAGATACCAATGCGTTTTTCACATGTGGTTCACATGTTACCACAGGAGTTACACAAGTGAACAACTGTAGGCTTCACACTTGATGTCCATGAAAATCTTCCAAACTCCCTTGAGAAATGTGTGCAAAACACAGTCACATGCTTTTAACACAAGGAAAATGAGTTTCACATGTGGTCACATGTGATTTTGCTCTTGTGTTTTAAACAAACAAACAAATCAATAAATAAAACAAATAATATATCCCAAAGATAAGAAGATGCTTCCAAACAAGGTTAAACCTTCAATATTGATATTAATACTATTATTAGTTGATATTTTAACTTCCATGTTGTTTAAACTTGTTTTGGCACAAATGAATAAAATGAACACTTTTCATTGTTTTTCATTTGCTTGTAGGTTTTATGGTTAAGCAGCATCTATGAAGGCTTCATTCACACGACCCAGAATCTGCTTTAGCTACGCCTCCAAAGATGAAACTACATTTTTCAAAATACACCTAAAAACGACTAAACCTAGCCATCTAGCTACACCTCATTCACCATCAATGTTTTCCAATAAACTAGTAAAAAAAAAAAGATAAATGAGAAGAGTGGCAGACGGGAGGACAAGATGTGCTGATTTCTATTCATTCACTCTGCAATCATTTCTAATAACAAGGGAACGTATGCAGAAGCAACAATAAGGTGTGAAAAACAGATGTCATTAGAGTCGAATAAACAGATGTAATCATAGTTTATATGAAACGTGAATTAGCATTTCCGGCTGCATTGTCTGACAATGTTTCTGATAATCAACTCATCGTGGTGCTTTTCTTTGCCTTTGCTTGTTTTATGTGATTTTATATTTTGTAAATTATCTGCCTGACATGATGCACGAGCGGCCGTTCCCTCGTCCGTCAGCCACATTTCAGCCGAGCAGAAACACTTAGCAAAACATCAGTGAAGCCATGTGAAGGCGACCAAAGCTAATTATGCATCTTGATGTCAACGAAAGAAAGGAAAGCATTTCAAAAGGAAAAAAGAAAGTGAAATAGAAAATAAAATACACGTATTAATGGGCGTCCTGCGGAGAGCAGATTGCAGCAAATCTGTGTCTTGATGACACCCTTCAGACTGCATCGAGTTTTCTGAAATGCAATCAACAATACATAACATGGAATCACATTCTTCTGATAAAAACTGTGCAACTGGAAAGATGTTCTTTAAAATGACATACTGGGATGAATCAGGACTGTTGGTTTTAGGCTCTGAAGGTCACCATTATGAAGTAGCAGCCCTTCATCACACAAGAACATTAAATCTAAAAACCTGCATTCTTCTGTGTCTGCTTTTAAATGGATTCAATCCCAGTTGTTGTTTTCATTCATAAGTGTTAAAAAACCTGTAAACATCGTTCACAACAGAGGCAGCAAACGTTTCAAATGAATACCAGTTACTAACTTATATTTTTGTTTCAATTATTTAGACACAACATCTTCAGCAGAAATGATAAATTTACTGTTTTTTTAAATGCTGTAAAGCGGTCAGCGTGTTTCTGAAAGGTAACATCCACCAAGCAGCCTGTTTCTGCAGAATTAGTGAATAAAGGAGCTGCTTTTAGCCTAATTGAGTGAGTAGTGGATGCATGCTCCAACACCGCTGGTATTAGACCAGCAGAACAAATGTGTGGTTACAGACTCGCGTTTATATCAAAGGAAATGGGAGGAAGAGAAGAGCCGGCAAAAGTAAAACATTAAAAAAAAACAGATGTGAAATCCTGAAAGCAAGCCGTGGCTAAGCCTGTCGCCATGTGAGCATTTAATCAGAAGAAGCAATTCATTCATGGCCGTCAGACCCAGAAAGGCCCGGTTCATTAGCAGCCTTCTTTAGCAGATGAAACGTGTGAGGAGGTCTGGGAACGAGCCGGGAGGAAAACAGAGTCCGGCAAATTTCAACTTCAATGGAAAAATACAGGGAGAGAAAAGGTTTAATAAACTGTTAGTAGGATTTTCCACCTGGACCAGACCAGTTACTGGTAAGAAAGCACAAAAATATCTGGCAGAGATTTTAGGTTTGGAGAAACATTTATAATTGTTTCTGAATGCAAGAGGAGAATAATGCAGGGGGATACGAGAAATAACCTCGGATTAGAGCAACGCTGTGGAACATTTAAGATAGCCCCGGTCTCCGGTAAAGGTCCGGACCTCCAGGGTTTCTGGTTTAGGACCTGAGCTGTGTGGTCTCTGGTAGAACTTAGTTTACTCGTGAATGTTGATAATTATCAACCCAAACCTCGACATGATTTACTAAAACAGCTGATCCACTGATTAGAAGCCAAAGAGTAATTTTATTTTTAACCCTTTGATGCATGAATTATGAAATCTTCAACCATGATTTTTTTAACAATTTTTTTCATTCATCTTCAGGTGTGAATGAAACAAATTTCAACAATTTTTTTTGTAAAATTTTATAATTTACAAATAGTTTATTACATGTCCATCTCAGTGGACAGCGTGCATTCAGAACATGAAATATGTTGGCTTGGCTTACTGAAGTCCAAACGGAGGGGCTCAAATGCAATAAAGTCTTCAACAGCTGTGCTTAATAGCAAAAACAAATAAATAACTATTTTGAGTACCTGTCCACTGCAGTGCCCATTATGCATCAAAGGGTTAATTTAAAGGTTAAAATATTTAATTTTTACTAAAACTGAAACGATGAGTGGATAATGACGTCAACTTGAAAACCATTATTTTCTTCTACTTTTCTTCTTGGTCTATCAACACATTAATCTTCATCCTTATGAGGAATTGTAGAAAAAACAATCCAAGCAAAAAGCAGAGAGAAGGACTGAAAATCGACCTTCACCGTAATTCTCCATCGGTCTCCCAAAATCCTGCCCAGCCAGGTGGACGGTGAAGGCTTTTGTACAGAAATTGAATAAGAAATGATTACAGTGATAATCTCAGCACCAGTGGGCTGATAAATCACTGTGGACCGGGCGCCTTCGCTCTCAATCACAGCCCACAAAGGAAGCACGCCAAAAAAATGGTGCTCTGAATCAGGAGGATCCAATTTTACACCACAAGAAAGCTGCAGTGCTTCTGATTGCAGGAGGAAAGGTGATGTTCACCAAGTGTCCCCCTGACAGGCGTGTTTCACCACCAGGCCTCCACTTCTACAGGCTTGTTAGGAATCTGTTTGCTGATTTATCTTAAAGAGTCATTTTCGTTGGTTTTACTAGGTTTTCATAAGACCGTTAGCTGAGGGGGTAACACCATTTCAAGATGAACTTCACCTTGGAGGCCAGAGCTTCCGCACTTTCTCTGCATATCCTCTCGATCTCCAGGTTCTCCTGAATCACGCCAACCTCCTCGATGACCATCTGAGACACTGAAGACGAGATGATGGATCAGAAAAACATTCAGAAACCTTTAGTCAACATGGCTGAAGTCAGCTGACTGAATTCATATAGAAGAGGGTTAAGTAACTCGGTTAAGTGACACAAAGACACACAAAGAAATGGAACCAGCATGCGAGGAGTTAGCTGTTCTCCACATGCATGTCTCTCGGTACTCCGGTTTCCTTCCTCAGACCAAACACATGCATGCTAGGTTAAAACTGTTGGTGCTGCGAGGGTCTCTCGGAGCCCCGAGGAAACAATCCTGCTGTCTGGAACAGGCATGGACTGGCCTTCTGGTGCACCGGGCAATGCCCGGTGGGCCGTTGCGCTTTTTTGGGCAAGTGTTCTGAGGAAAAATAAAAAATAAAAATCTTAAAAGAAAAACTACAATGTAAATATTATGCAACGGCCCATTGGGTGTTTTTTAACAGGACATTGGGCTAATCGAATGAGATCTCTCTCAGCCATCCGTGATCCGCCCTTCCCTCCTCATCTCATCTCAGATCAAACTTGGGCAGAGCGTGTTTTGAGAGCACGCGAGTCAAAAATGGACAAACCAAAAAAGCGTAAGGGGGTGGCAGAAAAGCAGCGAGATAAAAGGAAAAAACTCCTCCAAGCGGAATCAGCACAATGTGCCAAGCTAACAGATATTTTTGCCATTGCATCTACAAGTTCGTCAGCGGCAGCAGTTGCACCTGGGCCAGAGGAAGAAGGAGGAAGATTAGATATTCAGGGAGACTCGTCAGAGGAGAAGCAGAAGGATGAGAAACACAAGTCTCAGCAGGGACAGATTGAGGAGGAAGAAGAGGTCAGAAAAGCTTCCGTCAGCCCGAGCCTGGTAAGATGTACCGTAGATGCTCATGACGAGGAACTTTCATGAAGATAGGTGGGGGTACGTGTGCACGCGTGCAGGAGCGTGTGTGTGTGTGTGTGCAAGGCGGGAGACAGGTGGTCTGCACATAAGCTAGCATGCAGAAGCACTAACAGAAACGATGAAGGCATGTGATAATAATGAAGAATTTATAACATTATTATTATTTTATCAATAATATTAATAATAATCCATTGTCTGAACCCGCTTGTCCACGTGGGGTTGCGCGGGGGGGGTGGGGGGGGTACACCATGGACAGAGAGCCAGTCCATCGCAGGGCAACACAGAGACACACAGGACAAACAATCATGCACACACACACATACACACACACCTAAGGACAATTTAGACAGACCAATTACTAACAGTCATGTTTTTGGACTGTGGGAGGAAGCCGGAGAACCCGGAGAGAACCCACGCATGCACAGGGAGAACATGCAAACTCCATGCAGAAAGATCCCAGGCTGGGAAGCGAACCCAGGACCTTCTTGCTGCAAGGCAACAGCTCTAACCACTGCACAGCCCAATATTAATAATAATGATAATAATAAATTACAACCAGAAACTGTTAAATGTTATTAATACTGGGAAATTTGCAGACTAAAAGTGTCAAATAATCAACCCAATTATTTATTTCAAACAGACTTCAAATATGAATAATAGCTGTATAATATGGAGTTATCTGTGATTCCTGTAAAACTGTGTGTGTGTGTGTGTGTGTGTGTGTGTGTGTGTGTGTGTGTGTGTGTGTGTGTGTGTGTGTGTGTGTGTGTGTGTGTGTGTGTGTGTGTGTGTGTGTGTGTGAGAGAGACAGAGAGAATTGCCTCTATTTAGCCTGTCAAAATAGATGGTTTATTACTTGTAGGTCATCAAAGACGTAGTAAAACTTACATTTTTGCCTCTCATTTTTCTCTGTTTAGTCAAGCCAGCCTGTTTTGATCGAAGAGGAAGAATCAAAGGGAGATCAGGCATTTGTAGACTATTTTATCTGCCCTCTTTCTACTAAGAGACAGGAGTTCTTAAAGTATCACCCACAACAAGATGCCAAAACCCTGTTGTCCAGAGGCTCTTCACTAGACCAGACGACATTGCATGGAAATGGTTGACTTATTGTGGACAACGTCATGCTTTATTTTGTTTTGTTTGCCTTGCTTTTAGCAAGCCCAATGATCCAAGTATTTTCATTAAAGACATGGCAGACTGGAGGCATGTGCACCAAAGAGTTGAGGAGCATGAGAGAAGCATGGCACAAAGACAATGTGCTGAGGCTCCAGAGCAACCATTGGCCACCTCCTTGAGGGAAGACAGCTGACAAGACAATATGAACAGGTTAAGAAGAGACGCCAGGTGTTGGAACGTGTGGTTGAGGTTGTTAAGGTTATAGGGAACAGAGGTTTACGCTACAGGCATGAGCACAATAAAGCTACACACACCTTGGAAAATGCCAGTCTTGACCGTGGTCACTTCTTAGAAATTATTATAGTGTTGGGGAAATACGATGTGTGCTTAAAAGAGCATCTCAACAATGTAGTAAGTAAGTAAAAAGTAAGCAGATCCATGCTTCAGGCACACCGGGTAGAGGCTCCCTGATCACCCTCCTGTCCAAGACAACTGTGAATACAGTCATCGATGCAATCAAACATTTAATAGAAGAGAGCGTCTCTGCAGACATCAAAAAAGCAGGAATGTTTTTCGTGCAGTTCGACACTACTCAAGATATTACAGGGAAAGATCAGTGTTCTGTCATTTTGAGGTGCGTCACTGATGCAGATCATGAAAGGCTGGTTGCAGTCATACAATGCAGCACAACAACAGGGCAGTCCTTTGTGACTCTGTTGACTGAAGTACTTGAGCGTCTCAAGTTGGATATAGGCCTGTACATCAGCAACTCCACAGATGGAGCCTCTAATATGCAGGGTCACTACAGAGGTTCCTCTGCATTAATGGCATCCACAAACCCCACCAATCTACACATGCGGTGCTACTTAACCTTGTGTTGGCAGAAACCGCCCATAGTGTCATTGAAAGTGGATCACTGACCTGCTGAATGACATTGCTGTATTTATCAGGGAATCATACACTAGAGTGGGCGTGTGGGAGACTGAGAGCCAAGACAAAAGACACAAACGCATTTCGCCAATTGGAGGGACGACATGGTGGGCCAAACATGATTCGCTGAGGAAAGTTTTTGGAAACTATGGCAGACCTGATGGTGGTCTTTATGTTGAAGTGGTGTCCACACTGTCTGCCATAATGAACCTGAAGACACTTGCAACAAATGCACGAAACAAAGCCGGAGGATATCGAGATGCTTACTCCGATATGAAACTGTGCTAACAGCTCAGCTATTTCTCCGGATATTTGAGATCACCTCACCCCTGTCAAAATACCTACAGACCGGAGGAATGGACATCCTCTCAGCACATACAATGGTCACCACAACACAAGAATCACTGAAAGAGATATCAAGAGATTTCCTAGCTGTCACCGATGCAGCTGCCTGTTTTGTCCGCTGGGCAAATGAAAAGCTGGAGGAGCACGATGAACTCGATTTGGAAGTGGAGGCTGCACTGCCTCAGAAGAGGGTGAAGAGAAAGAAAGTCTTGGCAGGACAGATAGCCCAGAATGAAAGCCTCAGGGATTCACAAATGGTCTATGAGGTCAATGTTCACCATCAGATTCTTGATACAGCCATTGAGGCCATGCAGAGAAGATTCCTTACTCATGGCACCCTGTATGCAGACCTATCCCTGCTACATCCCAGAAACTTCCCCCTTGTCCAAACCAGTGCTCTCCCTAAATCTGCACTTGAAGGACTCAGCAAGTGCCTTGTTGTGTATGACAGCAGGGCGACAGTTACCAGTCTACAAAATGAACTAAAAAACTTGGCACAGCAATGGGACAGGCTGGTACAATCACACTTGGATGACTACACAACTACAGCAGTTGAAGAATCAGATGATCATGCAGAGATAGACATAATAAGAAAACCTGTTCCTCTTGCAAAAGTTGTCCTCTGTGCTGCTACAAAATCCTCCTCAGATGTAATGTGTTGACTCATGCATACCCCCTACTTGGGTTGCATATCTGTTTTTGCTGACCTGGTCCATAACTCAGGTAGCCTGTGAGCGGTCATTTTCAACCCTGCGCTGTATCAAAACCAGACGGAGAAGTTGCCTGTCTGCCAGCAAGCTGGGAGCCTTTATGTTGACGGCCACTGAAAAGGATGTCCTTGTGTCCCTTGAAACTGACAGTGATTGACCGAGTTGCAGACAAGAGTGAATTACTGAAGAAACTACTTTCGTAAGGTGAGATTTATGAAAAATATAATTGTGTTTAAGTAGTGAATTACATTTTGTGACATAAAATAATGTAATTTTTGCTTTGTTTTGTCTTCTCTCACGAGGTTCGCTTGCTGCTTTCAGTTGTTAAAGTTCATACTTGTTCAGTTTCTTTGTCTTGCTACATATTTGAGGATTATCGGAGGGCCATTCAACAGTTCTCCACCAGTACGCACCTTTTATTAGACTTTAGTCAAAAATATCTTTTTGGCATATCATTGGTCCTATTACGAAGCAAGAGGTGTGTAATAATCACTTTTTTAATCCACCTGACTCTTCCTCTTTAAGGCTACCCTGTCCACTGGGCCCCAGGGACGTTCCAAGGAAGTGTCTTTCATTAGTGTGGACTCACAAGCATTTTCCTACATTTGTGAGTTCACTACACTGAACACGCGGTTTTGTGTTGTTGACATTCAACTGGGTAGTTCTTAAGTCCACTGCCTTTACTGTGTGACTGAAATAGATGCAACCAGCCAGGGCTGGCCAGAGGTCTTTAGCTGAACTAAATCTGGGACCCACTTAGGAACATCAGAACTTCTAACAGCATCTCAATGTAGATCTTTTGGAATCGGAGAGGGGGGGGGGGGGGGGGGGACAAAGGTTAAAAAGCTATCACAGCGAATTGGTGATTGAGACTGAGATGTATTTCTGAACAACCTGAGCTCAAACACCAAAACTGATGGATTAGCCATCAAACTATGAAGATTATATTTTTATAAAGTAAGCTTAAATGAACATATTTTTTATTTTCTTTGTTTATTAACATTGAAACAGTCAA